TCAATTCCCACAATGACCTTTTAGTTACAACTTATAACAGGGACTGAAAACATAATAACGAGATTAGTTATTCTTGAGATTTGACAAGTAAATAAGATGTCTTACTTGATTATGCAAATAAATGCTCAAGCATACATATAACATAGAGAAGAGAGATGACATGCGGGTATATCTGCATATTGATCAAATTGTCATAGTATAGCTTAGACAAAAAGGAACCAAAACATGAGATGCTATACGGAAACAATGACATGCCTAATGTACAGACTGACAATAGCTACCTAGTCATATAACCACTAGAAAACCTATTCTAGACATAACTTAAGGTCCTGTTTATATAAACTTCTTTTTAAGTATTTATAAAAAAATATATAAGGTAAAATAATTTGGGCTTCTCTTTCAAGTTTAAACAAACTTGTACACTTAATTTTAATAAAGACTATCCTATTTCACTTCTCCAAAAACCAAAGCAAATAGATTTATATTAGCTATGGTAGAAACTCAATTTATTTCACTTCTTATTTTATTCTCCTACGATGTTTGTGGAGAAGTTTACTGAAACAGAGCCTAAATTTAGTAAAATGATTTTGCAAAAAAAAAAAAAAAAAATTCAAACAAAACTGGCACAAAAAAATATGTATAACTTTCAAAAATCCATTTACTAACGTACTACAGAACTGGCAAAAATGTACAAATCCAGTCTCCGGTTCAGTGACCTTGAACCTAGTCAATTACTTCGTTCTTCCGTCACTCCTCATTTACTTTAATTTTAATTGACTGTAGAAAATCTCGACAGCGAGAGAGGACGGAAGGGACGGAAGTGAAAGTAAAGTACCTTGGGAAGAGAAAAACAAGTTGAGAAGAGCAAAAAGGAAGATGACCGACACCGGCATTCTCTCTGGCCGCAGGCGACAGAGGCGTAGAGCATCATCAGGAGAGAGAAGGCTGAAAGAGCGAGCTGCAGACTGCGAGATTCCGGCAGAGCGTCCGGCGGCAGCGGTCATGGCGGAGACGGCAGCGGGCCGAGGCAGGAGGGAGAGAACGCATAGCTCGAAAAGCGTGAAACGTGAAACCCTAAGAGAGAGAAGGCAATGCAGGAGGACCGGTTTCCGGATCCATGAAACGCGGTGGAAGATCTACTCAATGAAAGCAGTGTGCATGCGAAAAGCTAGAGAGAGAATGAGATCGAGAGAGGGAGAGGGTTTCGAAAGGGAGGAGAAGAGAGAGTAGTGAGTGGGTGGAGAAGGGAAGAGGAAGAAGGGTGGGGCGTGGGAGTTGAGAGCTTTTAATGCTAGTGGGAGTGTTGTTGACAGTGATACAGTGAGTGATGATGCCTTCAGTTTTTGTGTTGTGCTATTAAGTTCATCATTCACATTCACACACACACACACACTCCCTCTCTTTCGCGTGCTTAAGACAAAAGGCTTATTGACGAAACGACACTGCCCCAGCCGTTTCGTTAGCTTCTCAAACGCCAATCCCATCATCTCCTGAAAACGCGCCATAGGGGAACATAGCTTCGTGGTGGGGCTCTCCCTGCCAAATAATATTAACAATAATTAAAATATTACCCTGCTTTCTTTTTTATTTGTTTTAAAATGTTGTCTTATTAACTTTCTGGGGGATAATAATGATGGCGCAAAATAGAACAGTGTCTTACTCATCTTGATCCACTGTACCAGAATTGATGAATGAAATTTCACAAAATAAAATAAAAGGTTGAGTAGGCTTAGCAAGTGTTTTTTCTTATTATTTGATTTGTTGTGGAAAACCTTGTCTGAAACTTCTAGTTTTTTTTTTTTTTTTCTAATCAAAATTGCTCACACATGTGTTATTTACAAACACAGCAAAGCGAACCTTGTATTTCAAAATCCAAAACTAAGTGTTTTATACTAGTTATGCTCTTCAGCTAAAGTAGGGTTATTATGATGTATTTTTTCTACTTAAATGACAAGTATTTAAACTTTGATTTTTTTTAAATATCATTATATAAACAATATAATATTTTATTAAATTTATATAATCATAATATATTAAAATTTCTTAATAACTTAGTTAAGAATACATATTTATATTATTTTTATCTTATAAATAAATTATATATATCTTATTTTGAATAAGATATCCATAGTTACATTATTATGATTTTGTCTTTAATTGAAATTTAAGTGATATTAAAGTTATGGTTAAAATAATTTAAGATTAATGTTTTATTATTATTATTATTATTATTATTATTATTATTATTATATAACAGTTTTTTTTATAATATAATCTATAAAATGAAAAAAAAAAACGAGGCATCATTAAACCTCTTGAGTTCAAATCTTATATATGAAAGGGAACTAGATTAAGAAGAATATGAAGTTGTTTAATTGTAGAATCAACAATAATAATAGTAAGTTATAGAATTTGGGAAAAAAAAGTCATGAAAAATGCATAAATAATATATTAAGATCAAATAAAATTAGAAAATAATAACAGGAATTAGGAAACTTCAAAGGTTAAATATTAAGATTAAAAAAAAAACAAGAGACGACAAATAATAATATTTAATAAAATGGAATTGATGGATCATAATAATTGGAATACTTTTTGAAAGATTAATATTCAATAAAAAAATTAAACAAAAAATATATTTTATGTTTTAAAAAATATTATTTGTTTACTTTTTTCAATAATTTTTAAATAATTGATACAATTTAGTTATTTTCATCTCTTAACTCAATTTTAAGAAAAATATTGAGATTAAGATAGTATTTATATACTTTCTAAAAATAAAAAATTAATTTAAATAGTAAATAATTTATGTAATTTTAAATTTTAAATTATATTAATTCCTTATTTTATTTTATATACAATCATTAAATATATATAAATATATTTTATATATACATTTTAATAAAATGTTATTTTTAAATAAATTAATTATTTATAAAATAGATCGTGTTTACTTAAATATTTAGATAATAGATTGAAAAATACCAAAAAAAATATCAATTTGAAGTTATATTTCATTTTTTTAAAATCTTACTTTTATGGATTATTTAAATTGATCCATGAAATCCATTTTGACAACTTTTAAGAACAAATTTGACTGTGAAAACTAATTTATAATTAATATTAAAATAAACATAAATAAGTTATTTTTTTCTCATCCATTTGAACTTTTATGTTGAATTGTGTGACTAGAAAAGGAAGTATTAAGGTTTATTTTGGTGACTATTAAAGAAAATAAAATATTAAGAAAGTTTATTGAATAAGTAGTGGTGTTTAGATTAGACAATGGACTAATAATAATAATAATTAAAAAAAATTATTTGAATTATAAAATGAGAATGAAAAGTGAGAAAAAATTACAATTATTCCAAAAAACACATTATTTAGTTAATTTAATAAATTATTAAAATGTTTTTTTAGAATTTAATAGAAATAGATATAAACTAAAAAAAGGTTAAATAAAAACTAATTATTTTAAAAAATTTAAATAGTTTTATATAATTAATTAGAGATCATGTCTAAATTGTTGTTCTTGAAAAATTTAAATACTAATAAAAATTATTTTAAAATTAAAAGTTATTTAATTCTAGCAACAAAATTAAATAATTATTTATATATTATATATTAGAACTCTTAAATTATCAAAACTCTAATTATATATTTATAAGTTTCTAAATAAAAACTTACAAAAAAATGACTGGATTTAAAAAAAAAGTTATTATTATTATTATAAAAAATAAAAATATTCATAATGTAATAATTTATGATCGATTGTATATCTTAAATTGAAGGATGGTGCCTCAATAATCTGTAATCCATTATCTATTTTAAATGGGAAGATAATGTTTGAATAATCAAATAAATGTCACTTTATATGATTTGGAAGTGAATTAATTAATACCAAAGTATATTATTTGTTAAATTAAAAGTAAAAACGAAACAAAGAAAGGTGTCTTTTATTTTTTTTCTCATTTTTATAAATAGTTATTTTTTATATTCACAATAAAGCTTATTCAAACAAATAGTTTTTAAAAAATTAATTTTTTAAGAGATAAAAATTGAAGAAAATAATTAATGTTTTAATAAAAATAATCTGAAGTACCATTTGCATGTAAATTAATTTTAAAAGCATCGTAGTTGTATGTATGTATTGTTTTGAAAATTAAACATAATGTAGTTGTATTCTCAAGCGTTGTTTTGAAAATTAAATGGAATAGACGGATTAAATCCGTAAATAATTGAATTTTGAGTTAAATATTAAAAAAATATTTTATAAAATATATTTTAATTTTTTTATATTAATTATAATAATTTTAAATAATAATTATTTTTTATTTATTTAGATAATTATTTATTTGATATTTTTTTAATATATTTTATATTTGTAATTTTTATTATAATTTATAGTAATTATAATAATAATATATATTATTTTTATTAAACATTGTATATGGTGTATCACTGGCCCATTCTCTATTATTTACCTTCTAACATCATACTTAATCGGAAAATTAATTGAATTTTTAATTTATCAAGTTAATAATCTACTGAACTACACATAAAGAAAAAGTCCAACTTAATAATAATTATAATTAAGTTAATAAAAGTAAAATTGTAATCCTTAGTGGGGATGTCTAAGTCACACCTCACTTGCGGATAAGAGATACCCCCGACCCGGGGCAAAAGAGCCACGTGCTGCGTTAACTTGTCTTTCTTTCTTTCTTTCCTTCTGTTTTCGTTTTCAACTTCTGTTCTGAGTTCCATACTTGAACCTATTCTTAGCTTCGATCTTTTTATTCTTCTCGCCACCTTCTAGACACTTCTAGTTACATAGTTGGTTATAGTTTCGAGCTGTTGTAATCCGTTCCAAATTCACTTCACTCTTTTAGCATCTAGGGTTTACTTTTTGTTATTCTCTTTCCAGATTCTCCGAATTTATTTCACCAAATTGTTCGGCTTTTCGATTTGTTCTCTGTTTTATTCATGCATCTTATTCGTGCATGGAGAATCCTTGCGAGGTACTCGGTTCCAAAGGGTTGATTAGAAGGCATGAATTCGTTAGGATCATAATCCAGTGTCTATATTCATTAGGTTACAGCAACTCTGCGTCGTGTTTGGAGTTAGAATCTGGCGTTTCGTACAAGTCCAATGAGCTTAAGTTGCTTGAATCACTTATATTGAATGGGAATTGGGAAGATAGCATTGAATATCTCAATTCCATACAGGATGTGTTGGGGGAAACAAGGGAATCTGCGATGTTTCTTGTTTTCAGACAGTGTGTTATGGAGTATTTGAATTGCGGTGAAGATGCGTTAGCTTTAGGGGTATTAAGGAAACAGGTTTCTGCCTTGGATGTGGACAACTGCAAAGTTCACAGTCTGGCTATGTGCTTACTTTCATTCAAGGATAGAGAATTAGGTGGAATTGGTGATGATGATGTTGTTGTACGTGATTTGAGAAGAAAGTTGATAGCAGATTTGGAAAATTTGTTGCCTCCTCCGATTTCATTGCCTGAAGCAAGGCTGGAGCACTTGGTAGAATCTACTGTTACGGCCTGGGTCGATTCGTGTATGTATCATAGTTCGTCAAATCGGCTATCGCTTTATGAGGATCATTGCTGCAGTAGGGATCAGATTCCTACTAGAACGACTCAGGTGAGTTCTATAGCATTGAATTTCGTGTCCAGATTGATTTATATTTCCTATTCAATTATTCATCTTCACTACTGTAATTTGTAGCAGTTCCCTATTAAGAAAAAAAAAATGGTGAAGGATGATGTAATGGGCTTCTTTTGTTAAAGTCCTTTCGGGGATATTGTGCTGCTTACTGATCTAAATCAAGAGTCTGTGTTAGTTCTTATTGTCTACTAATTTACTACATATATATATATATATATATATATATATATATATATATATATATATATATATATATATATATATATATATATATATGAGAGAGAGAGAGAGAGAGAGAGAGAGACCATGTGTGTGTTTGGGCTTACATTATCTTTCGGACTTCTCATTAGAAATTATGGAAAGGGGAAAATTATTAAACGAAGGAGAAGAGGGATAGTATGTAGCTCGTCAAGCCAGCTCCCCTTATTAGTTCCAGAGTGATATGTTTTAAAAGGGAAAGAAACAATTCACTTTCAGATTTTACTTTTTATTTTCATATTCTCCCACTCTAAGATTTTGATATTTATTAGCCAGTCATGAAACCGGTAACGGTTTTTTGATATATCAATGACTGATATGATAAGAGTTTGTTTTCCTGATGGTTTGATCTCTAATTTGGAGTTCTTTTTTGGGTACATGCCAAGAGATTGAGTATGGTGTCAGTTTTTTCCTTGCAAAAGATATATCAGATTTTGAATCATGAACATAAATTCCCAATTAATCTTTTCTGAAATATAGCATGCAGTAGATATTAAATAACATTTTTTCTTTTTATCGCTGCAGATTTTGACTGGACATAAAAATGAAGTTTGGTTTGTTCAATTTTCTAATAATGGGGAGTACCTAGCCTCTTCATCCAATGATTGCACTGCCATCATATGGAAGGTATCATGCTGTTGTGATCGGAAGAAGTATTTATTTTAGCTTTAGATATTAATATCTTCTTCGGAAATCTCAATTTGTGTTTAAGCTCCAATATGTATGAGAAAAAGGTGTCATATCTATTGTATATTCGCTATAATTTAGGTTAATTTCATGGCAAACCCTCCCTAAATATCATTTAGATTAAGGGACACATTTTTTTTTTTAATACTATTCAAATGGTTTAAGATATTTATTATTCATCTATTGAGATTGATAGGTTAATGTTTTGGAGCATGGGACAAAATGAAGCGATAAACTATAGAAGGAAAGGATACTTAGAGCTCATTATCATGTCTGGACTCTGGAATTCCTTTAAAGAATAAAGGATGTGTTTATTGTTTTGTTTGGGGCTAACATAATAGGAAATAAGTGGATGTCAGGACCTTGCTAGAATCGAATTGGGAAGATGAAAAGATGAATGTCATCACTGAAAAGGATTTTTGTTGCATTCTTGTCCAGTTCATATATTTCTTAGTCCCAGTGACTGGGGGTTTGCTATAAGGTTCCATGAATGCCTTAGTCCTCATTATTACAGCATAGCTAGAAAATGAACAAACAGTCGAAGGTCCAAAATCATTGTAGGATAAAATGCTATAGTTTTGTGGATTTCTGGAATTTGGATTAGTGGTATAACTTAAAAATTGAAATTTATATATTTAAGTGTCTTATTTCTTCAATTGGACAAGGCTGGCCGTGGTCAGTGCTATGAATATTGCAGATCAGGAAACAACTACATTCTAATGCTTATTTCTGTAAAAATGAGTATCTCATGAATGTGAAAAATTTGTATAATTTTGAGGGGAATATCACGATGACAGTTAAAAGGAATAAAACACTAATAATCTTCTTCAATGCTCTTTATATACCCTTATTAAGTGCAATGTCCTTTATCTTTGATCCAGTCAATAAATCACTGTTATTTGCGGGTTGTGGTCTTGAGATGTGGTTACTGGTAAGTTGCTGGTGTTCCCTTCACATAAGATGCCAGTGTTTTCACAGAAAATGTTAATGGAGCAAGATCTGTAAATTGTTTTGGGGCAGGGACCATCAGTGGGATTGATCCAAATGTCCATTTTGAGTTAACCTGACACTATTACCATTAGTGTGGAACTTTAAGAGTGACATTACCCTTATATTGTCGTAAGACAAACAATCTTGATTGTAGGACCACATACATTTCGTCAGTAAGATCCTGTTTTTTTGTCTATAACATTTTCTTTGTATTTATTATGTCGTAGCTAGAAGTCTAGTATCATGCAGACTGCAAAATGATCAATCCCTGAGAATGTTGCATCTGCAGATATGTTATTCATAAGATAAATAAAATACACGGGGATTTAAGGGATTCATTGTGCAGATGTGCCTTTTTTTTATCTCTCTCTTTCTTGGATGATGTCTTACTCCAAATTTCTGTATTTCTTTCTTCATCATCTGTCAAGGTTTTATTCTATTAAAAAAAAGAAGCCTGTCAGTTCCACACCAAGGAAAAATATTTGCAACCTTCATGTAAATGAAGGAAGAAGTAACCTGGTGGGAATTTTTTTGAATTGTTGTGACCTTTTTTCCATTTACAACAGGAATTATGGAAAATGAATTAGCTGGCAATTGCCAGGCGGTTCACACCTAAAGGAAACTTATGTATGTTCTGGTGGACAATTTAAATGAGAATGGAATAGGCCGGTAAAGGTCTTATTTACACTGCAAGTTGGCTAGGAAGAGGAGGTCGATGAGACTAATAGAAAGCTGTAACATGGGTATTTTACTGGCATGAAGCCTATCGTTATGGCTCACCTTTTGGTGTTTTACATTTTAATAGATTGTTAAGCAGATATCAGAATTGGGGTTTTGTTGCTTGTATTTGAGATCTACGACCAATATACATTTACTATCCTATCTGAATAATCACTATATTTTGTGTCTTTGTTCTATATCTTAAATACCAAATTCCTACTATAAGATCAGAGTTATACCCATTTAATATGTTTATTCCAACACTGATGTCCTATATGATATAATATAACATACATGGCTATGGACATATGAATATCCACCCAAATTACCTTTGAGAACCTATTGAATTTAGATTGATAGGTGTATCTTACATGGATACGTGGTTTTACTAGTTACTGGAAAGAAATGATCAATGCTTTTTAGGTCATTTGCTGAGCCTCACTTCAATTGCCAATCCACGGAAATCCTATCTTATAAGGGCTCCGGTTGGATACCTTCCAAACAGAGGTTGGAGCATCATACAAACAGGCTCTAATTAATGTTATAAATCTGTTGTATTTCTATTAACTTGTCTAAGGGATCTTATTTCTTGGAAATCTGATATAATACTCATTGTGGCAGATGGTGATTTTCCTGCTGCTGATAAAACTGAAACTAAACTTGTGATTAGAATAACCAATTACTGATTATTAAGCTGGATATAGGTTAATTTTTTGTCAACTAAGATAACAATCTAATTGTCTAGAAATCAATCAATAAATACTGGAACATGTGTGTAGGTTAGCACCTTATCTCACCCTTTCAAACATTTCTAATGTCCTGGAAACTTCTGTTAGGTGCTGGAGGATGGGATATTGACACTGAAACACACACTTAATGGTCACCAACATGCTGTATCTTTTGTAGCATGGAGTCCTGATGACACCAAGTTACTAACATGCGGGAACACAGAAGTTTTGAAGCTGTGGGATGTGGAAACAGGTACATGCAAGCACACATTTGGGAATCAAGGCTTTGTTGTCAGCTCTTGTGCCTGGTTTCCCAACTCAAAACAATTTGCGTGTGGCAGTTCTGACCCTGAAAAGGGTGTTTGCATGTGGGATTGTGATGGAAACGTGATCAAATCATGGAGAGGAATGAGGATGCCCAAGGTTGTTGATCTTGCTGTTACTCCAGACGGTGAGTATCTTATCAGCATCTTTATGGATAAAGAAATTCGTATTCTGCATATGGGAACAAATGCTGAGCGAGTCATTTCAGAGGAGCACCCAATCACATCCCTTTCAGTTTCAGGAGATAGTAAGTTCTTCATTGTCAATCTAAACAGTCAGGAGATTCATATGTGGGATGTGGCTGGGAAATGGGATAAGCCATCGAGGTTTACGGGCCACAAGCAACACAAGTATGTTATAAGGTCATGCTTTGGTGGATTGAATAACACTTTTATCGCCAGTGGTAGTGAAAATTCACAGGTAATACCCTGTTCATGTGAGCTCATATAGACATTCCCTATAAACTACTCAGTTGCTTTGCATGCATATTGTTATTGTTATTTGGTAGTAAACATTTAATTCACCTTCATTTTTGTGTAATACAGGTATACATTTGGAACTGCCGGAACCCGACTCCTATAGAGGTTCTATCTGGGCACTCCATGACTGTAAACTGTGTGAGCTGGAACCCCAAAATACCACAAATGTTGGCATCTGCGAGTGATGATTACACAATTCGTATATGGGGACCCAGCTTCCTTAAAATGGGAATGCCAAATTGAGTAGATTAGATGAGCACTTTGCATATTAAATTTTCAAGCCTAGTGTAACGCATAATAGTTTTGGGTTATATTCTTTTTCCCCCACGCAAAGTCCGTTCAGGTTACTGCATGGGTTTGTAAAGTCGTAGTTCAACCATGCAAGAATTTTGGAATTTTGGGCGCACATTCCCATATATCATCTCACTTTCCTTCATTTGTTGTTAAACCCTCAATTTGTCACATTGTGAGCAGAAGCTGATGGATTAAAGTTAGGATTACTCTTACTCTTTCAACAATACTATGATTTGAAATGGTAGCAGCATATTCCTTTCTTCCCCAAGAATATGTTTACTTATCAGTTGGACAATGGGCAGCATGTGCTGTAGGTCCCCTGTTGGCAGACACGCGTATAATAATCATCACGTCTGCACTCAGCACTTTGCGGCCTCCTAACCGGGCATGCACGATAATACTTATAATATAGGAAGTAATTATTTTTTTAAAAGTTTTTTAAGATGATAAAATAATAAATGTTTTATGAACTGAATGCAATTAAACACGTTCTGAGTTTATAGCTAATCTAGTGCATGTTTAGTGATAATTTCTGTTCAGTTCGAATATGATAGGTAGAGTTTTGCAAGCTTTAGTTGGTTTTGCCTTGGTTTATTTCATGGATTTGCACCACATTAATGTGGTATTTTGCCTTGAAGATGTGTTTTTTTATGCGGTATTTTGATTGGGGTTTGGTTTTAATTTGATTCACAAGGTGCTTAAAACACAAAATTCGTAAGCTTTCGTACATCCAAATTTTAAATGTTTGAACACATTGCATGTAGAAAAGAATATGCTCAAACAGTATTGGATATAAATTAATGAGATGTCTAGATAAATTTTTCTTTAAGGACTTAGGATAAAAAAATTAAGAAGAAAAAATGAAATAGATTATTTCATAAGTCAAAATTAGTTTATATAGAGGTAGAAAAAAAGTTAGAGATCATATGAAAGTTTATTAATTAATTTATGCTTAAATTAGTTTTAACTTAACAGATTTATTTTTCTCTCTTAGACGTCTCTATCGAGAATTTTGTCTAAATATACTGAAGATCTAAGTACATCTTTGAAAATTCTAAGAAAGACGCCTTTGAAAATGCTTAGGTTAATATGAAGTTTATGGATTTAAATACTTGATAAAATAAAATAATTCAAACTCAAATTGTAACGAAGCCCCTCCTCCTTCTCTCTATATATTTATTCGTGGTTAAATACATCTATAACGTGGCTTTTATAAGTAACCACCCCAAGTTCTTAATTTTACCTTAAATAAATTTTATCATGTCACATCACTTATATGATATGCAATTTAATCCGTATTCAATGACACTTTAATATTTTTTAGATGTGTTTTTCATAAGGTACCATAAAGATGTTGAAGTTTGCCACTTCACAAGTTTTCGTAAATTGTTTTATAGTAATATTTTTTTTTTTAATTGCTTTTGCCAAATTATTTGTTGTATAGCATTTATCAGTAGCTTTTGTTTAGTCTGTCCTTTTCCATATTCAACTATTATTTACCGTCAATTTGCTCATTTATGTTAAAATATACCCCTCATTTTGAAACCTTATAGTTTTCCGGTTGATTTAACCTTTCAGTTTATTCTGAACACAACCATAATGTATGCTCAAACTTCATGTTATTGTCTACATCTTGAGAAAATAAATCCTATGCACATTGACATGATGTCTCTCTCGGAGCTCCAACATTTTTGCTATCACGACTTTGTTTGAAACAACAACAAAAATTGAATTGCTTTAATTTTCAAAACTAGTGACATTTAGTTGATTGAGGTTCCTTTATGGAAATTATAATTTTTTTTAGTGTATAAACTACTTCTACTTGATAACTTCCACTTTGAAACATTGAATCATTGTTAAATAAGGAATATATCTTCTTTGATGGAAAAATTAATAGGAGATTCTTTTTAGTAGCATGCCCTTGCTCTTGGTTACCCCCTTCATTGACTGTGATATCATTTAAGTGTAAAAATATCGTATATTTGTGGAGTTTATTTAATGGAAATTTCACGTATCATATTAGTATCAACAATACAGAGAACTATGTAATTTTAACTCTTTTAATAAAAATCAATGTTATCAAATTTTGATTGGACCAGTCTATTCAATAATACAACCCAGAAAGTAGTTTAAAAATTAGTTAATTATTTTAAAAAAAACAGTAGACAATAAATAGAATAAAAATTAGATAAAGATAGCTAAAATTAGTGAAACCAAATGTGAAAATGTTTTTATCTTTTTAAAGGTTAAAATATTTTGTTCATCTTTTGCCTCACACCAGTTAGATTAGCCCTAAACAATGATTTATTTATTTTCTTTCTTTACCATGTGACTTTCGTTTTCACGTTTTTATTATAACTATAATTATTTTAAAATAATAAAAAATATTAATAAATTAATTAAATTTTTAAACTCCAAACTCACACCTAAGATATTTGTCATGAAATTATCTTTAAAAAAAAATGAGGTTATACAATAAAATAAGAAAAAGGTTGTTAACTATTTCACAATGGTTTTCGGAATTATTTTTGAACGACTATAATATTGATTAGTATTGCTTAATTCATTATTATTACTGGGAAACTACTTAAATTTGATATGACAAAGAGGACGATTGACTAGAATTTAAGTTTGATTTGATTCCTATGGTGGTGTGAATGATTTTTCTTTAAATTGAAAATGACAGTAAAATGCCTTATGCAAATTTATGTTTATCACCAGCAAGTAGAAAAAAAAAAATTATAAACACAAACTAACGAGGTTCACATCTAAGTCTCCTTATGATTTGATAGTTTCACATTATGAAAACTTTTATAATTATAATTTACCTATCATTTTATGATATTTCATACATACTAATAATGTATTAATTAGGATAAATTATATTTTACAAATTTTCATTATTTTAATTTAAAAAATAAAGAAAACATTTTTTACAAGATAAAAAAAATATTAAAGCGTTTTTATGAAACACAGAGTCAATAATATAAAAACAACTCCCGTTCAATATTAAAAAACATTTTTTACGCGTGTTTAATAATATACCAAGTCATTTTTTTAGATACTTTCAAGCATTTTTAAATTTAAATAATTTTAACATTTTTAATATCATGTTTCTCAAGAGTGTAAAGTACAAATTAAGAAATACGCAATTCATGTAAATTATGATTAAAATGTTCTCAATTTTTCAGCTTTGTTGTTATAAATTATTCTGCGTATCTCTCTAATGGTTAACTGCTCATAATATAAACGAGGGAAGAATGAAACAAATTAAAGGAACTAATTTTTGTTTAAGGAAAGAATAATTCTTAAAAGATGATAAAGTACAAACGTATTAACCTAATCCACCAATTAGTAATTGACACAGCATATCACAAAATAGTAATAAATTATTAATGAATGAATTAATTAATCAATTAATATTATCCATGTTTCACAAAATTCATTTTCTTTCCTTGAAGAGTCTGGTCCTAAACCTAGGTTGGTTTCACACATCCCTATGCCAGAACGATCCAACGGCGCAGGTGGAGAGATCTGATGGCATGAAAGGACACAAAAATTAAACCCAGGGATTTCTGTTAATCAGAGATTCCACCCCGAAAAGTCTAGGAAATTGCAAAGGGAGGCCCAAAACATGGGAATTCCTTTTAGCGTGGTGTCGTCGAGCTAGGTCTGTCTTCGAAATGAAACAAAGACGGAGGCTCTGAAATAAAGGCATCCATTCGAGAGAAAGAAAGAGAGAGAAGAAGAAGAAGAAGAAAGAAGAGGGTAGTGTCTGTTTGTCTCTGTCTCTGTCTTCGTTCCAAACCATGAATCTCCTCTCTTCCCTCTAACTCCTCTCAGATTCGATCCTCTCTTCTCTTCTCCCAATTTTGCCTTCTCCCCCAAAATGACGGGATTTCCTCGCCCGCGCGATCACGCTTCTTCCTCCTCGCACAATTCCAACAGCAGGTCCATTTTCTTTCCGTCGATTCCTTTTATCTGTGGAAATTCATTTTAATCTTACGCCTGTTCACAATCTTTATTTCTATTCTCCGTGAATCCGCGGCACCGACGTTAGTTGCGGATTGTAGTTGTGTGATTTCGGCCGACTTTTCAATTTCGCCTAATTCGGTTTTGTTTCTTTGGTCTGTTATTTGGCTGTGTGTTTGGGTTGCTTTCTCATTAGGATAGTGAAACAACGGCGTTGTTATTGTCGGAGGCAGCTGGAATTGAGCTTGATGCATGTGATTGCTGATCCCGAGGCTCTATATCCTGGGCTGCTGCTTGGGTTTTAGGTGGATCCTGTTTTGCTCTGGACTGGTTTTTCGTGTTGGTCACATCAATTCGCGGTTGTTGGCTTGGGAACCTTCAATAGTTTTGTTTTGTGTTGTCCTGAGGTCTGTTTGAGTCGTGTGAAGTTAGCTAGGGGTTGAGATGAGATCGTTGTATTGTGAGGTTATGATATGTGTGTTGGATGATCAATATAGAGCTTGTTGGTTGGGTTTTTGTTGATTGTAGATACTCGGCGGTGCGGTACTTTTTGGAAAATTTGTGCATGATTTGGATGGATGGTCATGGAGAATGGGAGCTTCTTGTCAAAATTTTGTAGTTTCTGACCTTGAAAATTGTACATTTTTTTACTATGCTGAGCTTAGCATGATGATCTGTCATGCTACTATAAGCTGAGAATCCATAAGTTTTTAAATGCTTGAATTTTAAAGTTTGTTTCCTCAACTTAGCTTAATTACAGAAATACATTTTCCTCCTTTCAAGTTGAATTTGAAATTACATGTTTTACTGCACAATATTTCTCTTATCTGATGTGTTAATTTGGCCAGTGGTAGCAATGTATTCAATTTGCTCGCAAGGAGAGAGATCTCACCCCGAACAAAGTACGTGGCCAAATGGCATTGGGGAGAAGTTTCTAAGTCAAAGTCTGGTCCTTACTCTCGTTCCAAGAATGAGGTTGTGAGAGATGCAAGACGAGGTCTCCTCTCGTGGTACTTACACTACTTTAGTCCATCAGTTATATTGGGCAAAAACAAGCCTCTTGAGAATGTGAAATTTGTTTTCAAGAAGAATCTATTTTGGGGACTAACATCTGTGACAATGATTATCAGGGTTGAGGCTGAGTCATTACGGCATTTGTCAGCTAAGTATTGTCCTTTATTGCCTCCTCCCCGGTCTACTATTGCAGCAGCATTTAGTTCTGATGGGAAAGTTCTTGCCTCCACTCAGTAAGTTTTAACTGGCTGATCACTCTTTGCTAATTTGAATCAAAGAACTTTTGTGATTGAATCTTGATATGTGTGCTATGTGCAGTGGTGATCACACAGTAAAGATAATTGATTGTGAGACTGGAAGTTGCTTAAAGGTGTTAGTTGGCCATAGGAGAACGCCTTGGGTGGTAAGTTTCAAATCTGCCTATTTGGCATTTGCCTGGATTTCTTGTGTTTTTGTTTTTGTCTTTCTTTTGTTGTATCTCTTGGTACTGATTGTGGTTTATGGAAGGATTTTATTTTTTTTGCATGAAGTCTGACGAGATGTACTTTGCTGTGAAGAATTGACAAATTTATGAAATTGAGTTAATAAAATTCTCATCGTTATTCAGTTAGGTGATATCCTGCCATTCAATTTATTTAGTTATTTATTTGTTAGGAAATAATTTGTGTAAAACAGGTGTTGTTTAGATGGAGGTGGGGGGGAGGATGAACCCTTATTTTTACTTTAGTAGGCATGTTCTAATTGAGAGACAAGGGAGGGAACTTGGAATAGGGGAAGAAAATTCTGCCCTACTCTCATTGTCCAAAACAGGGCATATAGGACACTACTATATAAAGTAAATATTAAATATTGTTCCAGTATTTCAACATAAAATAATTGATGCCACATGCAATAATGTATATAATTGTCTATTTTTCTCACATACTTTTATCTTTTTTGTAAACACATGTCTCAAAAACTCTCTCCTAAAATCAAAGGGAACAACAGAAGTTGTCCACATGCTGTGTATTTCATTTAACGATTTACCACATTGGTCTCTGCCTCAAAATCCTTCCTTTCCTCCTGAATCCGTTCACCAAGATCCATGACTTTGCTTGAAACTTATCATGTGAACTGTTGCCACATGCAGTGGGTTGAAAATGTCATTAACTGGTGTGAGGGATATAAAAACTTCTTTAATAGAGTATGAGTATCTTATGTTCCAATTAATAAAAAAGTATATGGGACAGGAGATTCAAGTCCAGTTTGTATGGCAATAGATGGTGGTGTCATTTCCAGTACATTAGGCCTTCTCCCCACCCCACATTTTTTTAACTATGTGCTAATCACCCCCTAAATGGTGCAGGTTAGGTTCCATCCATTGCATCCACATATACTTGCTAGTGGGAGCTTGGATCAAGAAGTTCGATTATGGGATGCTAACACATCAGAGTGCATAATATCTCATCATTTCTGTATGTTTTCTAATTATCAACCACTCTTTTTCCTTTCTAAATTAATCCTTAACTGTTACTAAATATGTTCATTGTTCCTTTTTGTGTATATTGGTTTGTCAATCTGATGAATTCAGTGGTTGCTTTTTCTTACAGACCGCCCCATTGCATCTATTGCTTTTCATGCCAAAGGTGAAATAATTGCTGTTGCATCTGGCCACAAGGTAGTATTTCTGAGAACATCCCATATTTTTATAATCTTTGATGAATTGTTTTGTACGTTGGTCGCATTTTTTGGAGCCTGTTTTTACACTGCATTGTGAAATACTGTCTCAGTTGTACATATGGCACCACAACAAGAAAGGTGAAGCATCCTCACCCATATTTGTGTTGAAGACAAAGCGGTCACTTCGGGCTGTGCATTTTCATCCACATGCAGCGCCCTATCTTTTAACTGCGGAGGTGAATGAATTATAATGTTTTTGGTTGCATATATACCCATGATATTCAGGATGTTATTTTTTGGATTTTCGTTTTGTTTAACATAATATGTATTGATGTGTATGAAATATAATGTTTTTGGTTGCATATATACCCATATATTCAGAATGTTATTTTTTGGATTTTCCTTTTGGTTAACATAATATGTATTGATTTGTAGGTCAATGATCTTGACTCTTCTGATTCCTCAATGACAGAGGCAACATCTCTTGGCTATTTACAATATCCTCCGCCTGCTGTTTTTGTCACAAATATTCATCCTTCAGAACATATAAGTTTGTCCGGCGAACTGCCTTATGTGTCATTACCTTTCCTTTTTATGCCCTCATATACTGTTGACGAGTCAAGAGCAGAAATACAACATTCTAGTCAGGAGGTGGGCTCAGGAAGCATGCAAATTGAGTCTTCTGCCATGGTACAGTTACAAGCAGACACAAGTGCAACAGAACAATATGAGGCTACAGTGTCTCCCATGGATACATTCTCCGAGGTGCCCACTAGTTCTCAAACTGGTATAGAATATCCGGCTCATACTGCTTTCTCTAATGGAATGGGAATTGGCCTCAGTAATCTCACAATGGATGGTATGGAGACTGATGAGACCAGACCTGCTGAAGGAAGCCAACATGGAAACTCTACCAATACCTATTCTCTTAATGGTGTGCTACATGGACTGTCTAGGCCAACATCCAACCGAGGGGTTCCCTCTGAGCTTGGTCAATTTCATCAGTTTTTTCCTTCTAGTTCAAGAGACCCAAGTGCGTGGGAGTTGCCTTTTCTCCAAGGATGGTTAATGGGTCAAAGCCAAGTTGGTGTTCCTTCAATGCTTCCTCACATGGGTGCTAGTCGAGACATTCTAGCCCAACAGATTGGTGCTTCTACAATGCCATCTAATCTTTCCAGTTCTAATGTTGATGCAGCAGTGTCATCTTCAGCAATCACTGGCAGCATCAGCATACCAGCTTCTTCAATGAGATCAGGTTTACGGAATCATTTTTCACAATTCCGGCAACCTGTATCTGAATCCAGCAATCTCGCAGCTTCTATTAATAATCCACATGATGGATCCGATATCCAAACGATTATGAATCGAATTCAGTCAGAACTTGCTGCTACATCAGTGGCTGCTGCAGCAGCTGCAGAGTTACCTTGCACTGTGAAGTTAAGAGTATGGTCACATGACATTAAAAATCCATGTGTCCCACTTAATGCTGATAGATGTCGTCTAACCATACCACATGCTGTCCTCTGCAGGTACCTTCTGATGTTATGTCTTGTGTTGAAATAGTGTAATTGTCAATTTGTCATTTTAGAAAAGATATTTTGTGTGCATAATGCAAGTTAATGACTTTTTTCAGTTTACCCTGCGAATTATTGTTATTATTTATTACTTAATAGTAATGGCGTTATACTGAATTTTAATAATGTCCATTTGGCATTCTTACCTCACAGGCATTATGCACCTTTTGGGTTGAAGTCAAATTTTATGCATAATAGTTAAATGTACTTCTACTTTTATTTTTGACCCACAATGGTTTTTGCCCTATGCAGTGAAATGGGTGCTCATTTTTCACCATGTGGTAGATTTTTAGCTGCCTGTGTCGCATGTATGCTTCCTCATATAGAAGCTGATCCAGGCTTACAAACTCCAGTACACCAAGAGCCTGGTGTTGCAACATCACCAACCCGGCATCCAATCTCAGCACATCAAGTTATGTATGAACTTCGGATATATTCCCTTGAGGAGGCAACGTAAGGCTCATTTAACTTAAACTATTACTTCCAATTGGAACTTCATTCACATACTTAAGTGAGTCCATTAAAGTTTAAAATGATTTTTTTATGTATTTGTATTGAACAGATTTGGGTTGGTACTTGCTTCACGGGCAATTAGAGCAGCTCATTGTCTGACTTCAATTCAGGTTAGTTAATTACTTTATCTTTATGCCAGTTTGTATCCACCTCTTTTCATGCAACTCACACACAGTCTCTCTGTTTCTCTCTCACACATATACATCCACGCAATTTGGTCCCTGAATAACTTGTATTGCTTTGATCTCAGTTTTCATCTATTGAAATTAGTCCATTGAGGATTTTTTTTTTCAAATCGACTGTTGGTAGGGAAATCTTGTTGGCCACTTGACACTTTTTGGGTACCAATTTGTTTGAAATGCACTTTCAGCAACCTAAGTAACACAAATTGCAACATTTTGGGGCCAAACTTTATTAACTCTTCACAGAATGCTTTCTCATTTATAATTTTATTTGTTGAAATTATGAGGTTTAGGTATAAAGGGAGGAAGAGATATAGAAGAGAGTGAAACATAAATTGAAATTAATTGTGATGTATTTCAATGTATCAATGTTTTGAAGTGTTCATAAAATCTAGAGCTTTGACCCTTTTTTACACTAATCATATCCCAAACTAACTAGGAAACAAATCATGATATAAGATAATAAGGTAATCAGTCCTAAGAGATAATGAAATAGGGAAACCAGTCCTTAAGGATACTCTAAGATATGATCATTATTTTCATGTTTATTCTTATACTATATTTCCTTTTCAGCACACGTCTGTACCTCTATTTTGATATTCATGTTTTATATATGGTTTCTTATCTCTCTCCATGCAGCCTTAAAGATGTGTGCCCCCTTTCAAATGATTCATGCTATTAAATTTATTCATATAATTTTATTGCAAATGCTGTTTTATGTGTAGTTCTCTCCTACATCTGAGCACATACTACTTGCCTATGGTCGACGCCATGGTTCACTTCTTAAAAGTATTGTCATTGATGGCGAAACAACATTACCTATATATACAGTGCTAGAGGTAAATGCTCTCTCTCAATTAAAATTTTTCTGATATAATTTTCTTTCATATAGACACATCCTTTGTAGCCTACATAATCTTTCATACGAAGTTGCAGTTGCTGGTTTTGGATCATGAAATTTATACTTAAACTGCTGTCTTGACAACTGTTCAGCTATTTATGCTTAATCTATGGGCTGGCACCAATTGTTACCATTCATATCATCTACCCCCTTATTGTTTTCAAATGGTTTTAATCTGTATTTCATGTCTTATGAATTTGCTTTGCCTTTTAGGTATACAGAGTGTCAGATATGGAACTTGTTAGGGTGCTTCCTAGTGCAGAAGACGAGGTGAATGTGGCATGCTTTCATCCTTTTGCTGGGGGAGGTCTAGTTTATGGAACAAAGGTATGGTTTTTCTGGGGAAGACCAATGATGTATGCTTTAGCTTATATTATTTAAGTTGTAATCTTTTGCCTGTGGTTGTAGGAAGGAAAGCTTAGGGTCCTCCAGTATGACGGTGTTCATGAAGTGAATGGCAACGGACCAAGTTACTTTCCTGAGGAGACCATCATTGGAGTCAGTCAGTGAGCAAGGTTATATATTGATTCTTTTAGGATTTATGGTTTATTTGACAACTAGGAAGTAAAAGGTGGTTTTGATTTTCGTCTGGATAGTTTTTTTTTGAGTAAAATAATCAATGTCAGAGGAGAATTAGCGGTAGGCTATGCGGATTATGCGATCATCTACACTCATGGTACTGATGTGATGATCATGGCAAAACGACATCCATTTTTTGGTGGGGTGAAACGGCCATGACAGTTGAGCTTTTTTCTTTTAGGGATAAATTAAAAGAATTGAAGCAAAAATTGATTTTAAATATATTTTCCTAAGGTAGTTGTCAAAATTTGAATCTCTCCCTTCTGCTTTTGGATCGTTATTTTACAATAACTGTAACCCTATCCTTTTCTGCAATCATAAGATATTTTATTTTAATTCAGTAGGGGTTTTAGAAGTTAAAAAAGTAGATGTTGGATTTTGCGTGATTCATATTGCCTTCATATGAAAAGCGTGTTGCCTATGAATGTTGGAGGATTGACCCGCTTTAGAATGAAAAGGAGACGGTTTTGATGTGTGGTCTCTTTGAAATCATGTGTGAATTTGGTCGGATGAAATGTCAGAATGGTTTCCGAAAAGTTGAATGAAAATATGTTACCACTGTTTCAAAGAAGAATCATTTTAACTTTTTGGTAGTATTCGCTAGTAGGAAAATGTCACATCTCATCGAACGCTTCGGATGAGTGAAATTAAGGAACATATTGGCTTTTGTTTTTACAATGCATTCCGTTACGCTAATTTGCATTTACATCTCAATTGTTGAGATTTAGTTTATTTATCCTTACAAAGTTACTACCCGTTGTAGGTTTTAGATAAATGATTGGACATGGAATTCAAAGATTTGATTCACATTACAGTACAACACACATGGTAAGTCTTCTACCTGAGCCCCAGTCCTTTGGTAGCGTTTGTGGTAATGTGAAATATATAAACCCATACAAGATACACCTTTCTATGCAAGTAGTGGATACGAAATATTTTTTGTTTCAGGATAATTATAGGGAGAGGTGGACCTCCCAAGCAGTTGAGCTTTCTCACCATAAGATGTACTATATATTCAGAGTAGAGATTCTCTCACCTTGCTTTTTAATCAACAACTCAACCAGTGAAGTTACTGAAAAAACAATTCAAGCATTTAAAGCTCAACTCTTGGGAGGTACATACTCTGATAGAAATAATCCTTCTTTTCCCGCGCATGAGGTTTTAAAATGTGTTTTTTTATCCCCATGCAGCTCTTTCTGCTGATGATTTGCACAAACATAACACCCTATATAGTGCAGAGCCATGCAACCGATGGTGGAACTTCACTCACTGTATTAGAAAATGTATATTTTTGTATTATCCATGTATGAATATGTACTAACATTTTCCTTTGTTAACATGTTTGTATTTCTTATCGTCCCCTCCAACCCCATCCCTCTCTCTTCAACCCATAAGTGGGCATCTCCATTTCTACATGTGTAACTTTAGTAGTGAAAGAAAATGTTTTTCTTTTTTCTTTGGCCCCGGGAAAATCTCTAGCTACACGACTTGGCACTAAATTACACCGTGCGGACGCCAAACATAATATTCCCATATTATGTAGGTCCTCCTGTCCTATGAGTGTGGATGCCAGATATTTTCACATTTAAGCTTGGTTTAGATGGACACCAACATAGTTGAACATTTGTTAATGGTCTTGCTAACCAGTGTTTTTAGTCTTTAGGATACTGATAAAGGCATTATAAATATAATATATATATTTTTTTTATTTAAAAGTTATACAGGAGTGTATTAAAAATTCATAGCAGAGTGTATTTTTATACATTTTAATAAAAGAAAGTTCACTTTCAATTTGTTAACCGGTGTCCTTAGGGATAGGGGTCAGCATTTGTCTTAGTTAATAAGCTCAATAAGTTTTTTCTCATGGAATTTATTGAAATTTGTGAATGAAAACAATAATAATAATATCAAGGTTTCAGGTTATTTTTACAAACCTAAATATATTAATTCCAAATGTAGGTATACATGTATAAATCTATTTATTTTAAAGAAATAATTGTTTGTTTTATTATTTATAAGATTTTGAGAAGAAGCAGATTAATCTTAAAAAAAATCCTGATTTGGAATTCCAATTGTAGAGTAGGAGAAAGAAAACCCTTTCGATCATATAGAAATGCATCAATTTTAAAAAATAAGAACACTGCAGAGATTACGTACCGAGTTTTGCTGAATGCACGTCCAAATGTTACATTTGATAAATATTAAGTTGAATTAGAAAAAGGGGGTGCGATAGAAATTATTGTATATTGTTTTCGTGTGAAATTTCTCAAATCAATTTTATAAAGGAAATGTTACATGTTTGGACAGATTTTAATACTTTTTGAAAAAGTATTAAATTAAATAAAAAAATGACATATAGTAAGAATATATTATTATTTTATTTAATATATGTTACAAAAATATTCTTTAAAAATATAAAAAAACAAATTTATATCAAGGGACACGCAATGGTGTGGTATTTGTGTTGTGGGACACCGCCGAAGTTGTCGTTGGTCTTCCCTCCTAAATGGGAAAAGTTTGAATTGGTTTTTGCCTCTTTAATGTGGTCGGCTTCTCTCTAAATTTCATTTTTCTCTTTAATGTTTAAACATATTTTCAAATTTCAACTCGTTTTGATTATAAATTTGGTCCTGTTTTCGGGAGTAAAACAAGATAGAACCTCTAAATATAAGAATCCAAATACATGGTAGCTTAACTGCTGAAACAAAAGATACTCACTCCTTCGAAATAAAAAAAAAAAAAAAACAAGAAAGAATTGGAAGAAAAGGATAAAAACGAAAAATTCCAAAGATAAAAGAATGTAGCCATTATAAAGGACCATGTGCAAGTCCTTTTCTCTAAATACTATATCTAAAAACCCTGTACTTATCTGCATGTCGTGGACTCCTGCTATATTCCACTTGAAAGGAAGGAAATTATATATATACTTTTCTTCAAATTAGAGCATAAACGATGCATTAATAAAAGCAATAACTTTACCCTATTGATTGTTACTTTTTATAATTTGTTTTAGCTTAGAATAAAAATAATAATTTTACTCTATTCTACACAAAACGAATTAGTATGACACATTGGTGATAATGAGATTTACTTATCGCAACGGTCAATTAATGAATTGTTAAGTAATGTTTAAAATTTATTAGCTTAAGTATTGAAGAATCAGCATTTATAAAAGTTGTTAACGAAAATAAGTTAAAGAAAACTTAATCTTCACGTGTAACGTAAATAGACCCTTAAGATATCCTATTAACTCTTTTGAATAAAAAAAACTAACTAATTCAAACGTACACACATTTTTAGAAAAATGACGACAAAAAGACGATGACTTTACGTGATTAAAATGATGAATGGTAGATTCATGGAACATGGAGGTTTACACAGCCCTAATAGAAGTGAAATGAAGAGAAGAGAAGAGAAAAGAGAAGAAAAAAAGTGGAATTGGTCGTAGTCATCAGATGAGAAAGTGTGACAGAGCAGAACACATTGTTTGATGAGTGGAAACAAAATTGACGTGTCCAAATCATCCCCACAGCTTCTTTAGCAAAATCAACAATAATTCTTCTTCTTCTTCTTCTTATTTTTCAATTAAAATACCATCCAAAATCGTTGACCAGTCAAGGGAACAATAAAAGCTGTCTTTTAAATTTTTACACGTAGATAGAGGGGTTGCTTTGAAAATAGTATGCATTGACTGATATGTTTTCTCCTTCTTTGACTAAATGATTATTATTCATCTCTCTCTCTCTCTCTGTCTTTCTGTCACCCATGGCATCCCAATTCAATTCTCAACACAACCAAACAACTGCAATTAGACAACCAATTTCTCCTTTTTTTTCAATGAATAATAACAACTTGATGAATCATAGAGGCTAAAACTAAGCTAATTAATCATAACCATAGGTCCACAACACTAGTTAACAATTTGATGATGATGATGAAGTAGAAGAAGAATTTGATTCAAATTTGTAGTACTTATCCACTGCAACAGACACATCCCAAGTGCAACTGAGTCCTTTTGGAATTGTGACAAGGTCCCCAGCTCCAAACTCCACAAACTCTGATGACCCTTTTGGGTATGCCTTCACCTTCCCCTTCAGCAAGTAGCATGTCTCTTCTGCATCAAACTTCAATTGGTACTTCCCCGGAGAGCAACCCCACCTTTCATTTTTTTCAACCCATCAACAAAACCAAGTTAATTCACAGTTTACAAAGTGTGAGTGCATTCCATCATTCTAATCTTTCATAAGCAAAAACCACAGATTCAATATGTTAAGTGCCTCTGATGGTATTTTTCTAACAGAGTTAAGTTTCACCTTAGCATCATCAGTATAATAAATGTTCACATTAAAACTCAATTCTGATTAAACAATAATGCTCAAAGCTATGTAAAGCTACATACAAGTTTTTTCCTTTTCACAATACACATCAAAAAGAGAAGCAGGGAAGGAAGAGCATATACTTGGGCCAGCACTTGATATTCAACTCAGCTAGGCGTGACTGGGGAGGGTTTCTTTCAATGGTGATTCTGAGGTTTGAGTTTGAACCTGCCGCCATGGAATTGAATGTGAGCAACTTGTTGAAGTTGACCAACAAATATATGTGCTTGCAGTGGGTTTGGATTTTTGGTACATGCACTCTTGTGTGTTTTTGGAGAGATATGAAAAAGCAAGGGATCATGAGCAGTGTTTTATAAGAGGATAATAAGAAGACTTTATATTTATATAAGACTTTTTCACCCAAAATAATTATGAAGATTTATGGTGGCTACTTGTAATTTGAAAAACTAACGTTTACCTATCACATCACGCCACGTAAATTCAAGATATGCTTTTTCAAACAAACTCATTAATGCTGCTACACGAATAAAGAGTTTTTTTTTTTATAATTCTAAAAACAAAATAAATTTATGCATATAATTTTGAACTTAAATTAATCAGTATTTTATTCGTATAACTGGTTTAATATATTTAATGCATCCCACTTAAAAATTCCATCTTTTTTTGAAGTCTCATTTTTTTAAAATAATTTACACATTAACATTAATTACTCTTTTCATTTAAATACTTAATCCATTTTCTTATCTCTCCATATTTATAAAAAAGTTGTTTTTACTTATATATGGTTTTCAAAATTTAAGATAAAGTTTATTACTTAATTTTATTATATGTTTACTTTTCATTTAATCTTTATTTTATTGATACTTTGTTATGTATTTATTATCAAATAAAAAATGAAAAAGATAAACTAAAAAATTAATAATTTATATTTTATTAGTTTGCAAAATTTATTATGTGGTGTATTCTTTATTTGTACGTATGAAAAGGAGACAAAAAGTATAATAAATATTATATCCACTTGGCTGCATTTCACGAAATTTATTTCGACTAGGTTAACACATTTGACACGTTGCATGTGAAATATTACTATAAATTAATAATCTACTGATACGTTACCATTTTTATAACAATAAATAGAGATTAAAATTAATTGGGAATAATTACTTAGTCAAACATAATTAATTCACCTAATATATATAGTAATTAAGAGGAGTTTCTAATTACCTCTAAGAAAAACAGTAATACTTAAAATTTCTCAATACTGAATAACTCACTATATTTTATTTTATTTTATTTTTCTATCAAAATAATCCCACATCAAATAAGTACTTAATTTGAATTAAAAATACCTTTTTAGGAAAATATATTCTCCAAATTTAAAGTGGTGGAATTACACAAATTTATACGTTAAAAAACATCATGATATTAATATCTTTTTTCAGGATAAAGAAAAAAAGTGTTATGAATTTGTATGATAATTTTGACTCAAATAAGTGTGAAAATTCAAATGAATATGGGAATAAGTTAATTATAAGATTTCTTTATTCTCTCACTAAGTTGTTGAAAACGTGTTATTTTTTAAAAATAAATTAATCCAATCACAAGTCTAATACTATAATCACATTATTAAGATTGGATTTTTGAATCAGTCTAAAATAAATTTAACAAAAGATAAAAATCCAACATAATTCTTTCCTTGTTAAATTTATCGCAAATATTAAATTTTCAGTTTTTATAATTATATCTTTTACAAAAGGTAATTACGAATTAGGTAAAATATACTTAACTTATCTCTCATAATGGATTTTAAATTCATCTTTTAATAAATCGAGTCAACAGTCAAATATAGATACTTTTATTAGTTTTTTTTTCCAAATATTCATTAATTATATATGAATATATTAGTATTAAACAATTTTTGACAGCTATTAAAAAATATAATTAAGTATTGAACAGATGGTTATTACGAAAATTTAATAGTTATTTAATTGAAATAAGTGGAGCAATCTTACCCGTAAATAACAATAATTTTCAAATTTTGATCATTCAATGTCTCAATAAAAATAATAAAAATGAATGATTATCATATAATTATTCAAAGCTAATCTTACGCATAAAAAATGTTTATCATCACTAAAATAATTAACAAATAGATTAAAATATAAAGAGGTCCACACCTCGGAAAAAGTTAATTTAATCATATAAAATATCATAGTTTTTTTTATAAAACAATATTTAAATAAAAAAACTTAAAAAAATAATATTTCGATTTTTTTAATTTAAGTATGTTTTTAGTGAATTTAAAATAAGTAAGTTTTAATATTAGTCATTCTAAAAAAAAAAATCAAAATTTTGACATTATTACTTTTTTATTCATAACATTATATGACAGTTGTTAGTTGTAATTATATGTTTGTCATAATATTAAGTGATTATTTTAAATGTCACCCATTAATTTTATTTTTTCCCCCCTTTTCATGTTGATACATGACATCTTATTCCACTTCTAAATCAATATTTTTTATATGTCGAAAAATAATGTTAAGAATAAAATTTGTAATATTAGATTTTGAAAAGATTAAAACTAATGCAAAGTTATTTACAAACGCTATATTAACATTTTTTATTTCAAAAGGATTGCAATAATGATATTACAATTTAGATGGATAAAAATATATGTTACTGAAACTAAAAATAAAAAAAGTTATGACCTTAGTTTATAATAATAATAATAATAATAATAATAATATTATTATTATTATTATTATTATTTAATCTTAATTTAAATTTAACTTCTCATGTGTTATTTTTCAAGTATTATACAATAAAGTAGATATATATTTGTATAATATCTTTTTACTATTTTTTACTTTATACAGTTATGTTATTACTAATGTTATATTTTATATATATTAAATAATATTATATATTTTCAGACAAAATAAAGTTATACTCTCTAATATTATACTACTAATTTAGTTTTTTTTTTCATTAATATTGTCTATATTTGTTAATGATGTTATTCTTATGTAGAAAATAAATGTGTTGACCGCTTGTAGATCATAAATATATTATAAAATTTTAAAATAAATATTAACCTTTTGAAGATTGTTTAGATAAACTGCTTAAACACAACTGAAAAATATTTAAAATATCACATAATGATTGGATTGATGCTAAAGTACAATTCTTTACCAAACTTCTTTTTATTAGCAAGCTTCAAATCACGTTTTGCTGATAAATTTTGTTTTATTTTCTGGTTTTAAGAAGTTAAGTCGCTTTATTTTCTATATTATGATAACATACAAAGAAAATAAAGTATGTATTATGCATGGATTTGTATATTGTCTAACCATAATTAATTATTTATGATAAATTATTGAATTTTATGATAATTATCTACAATTTCTGATTATTAAATAATATACTAAATTTATATTGAAAATATATATTAATTAGTGTTTAGGTACATTTGAATTATAAACGTTGTGTGAAAAATGTAAAACAATTTGTATTGCTTCAGCATATGTGGAGGAACAAAATATGGGGTTTAGTCACCAGGAATAACATCACTGACAATTTGATTCTTGGATTGAATTAAGTATTATAAATTCATATATTAATTTGTACATATAAATAAATTAATAAACTAAAATCTCAGTTACAAATTCGGTGCCAATCTGGGGCAATCCAAGCATGACTCGGTCTAAACCCAGAAATTAGAGTTGACATACTAAATGTTCAAACTATTTATACCCCCATTTTGCTCTTTACACCACCTATCTACTTTTTAAAATCTCTTTCGTAAAAAGTAGGTACATTATAATAACTTACAGAAAGTAACTTTAAATTCAAGAATGAAGTTAGATATAACTCTATCAATTAGTAAACACAATTCAAATTTATCAGCAAATTTATTTTAATTATAAATTTTATCGTGTATTAGGGTAAAAAAATAAAAATTGAGCATTTGTTAAACAAGCACTAAGCCATACGATTCGAGAAGGAATATGACGTGCTTTGATATGTGAATTTTTTCTTTTGCAAATCCCTGCCAAAAAAAAAGTTTTTATTTTCATACTGGATTCTTCGTATCACTCTGAAATACCAATTGAGATGATTTTACAAAAATCAAATTACATTATTGGTTCAACGTTGTAAAATTCATTTTAGATTTAAAATTGATCTGCTGCATACATAAGCTACAATTTTAAAATTTTAGGCTGTATAAAATTTCATGCAATTTGAACTAAAAATTAGAATATTTCGAAACAGTAATCCAAGTGTGGTAAAACTTTGATGCTGCCTATAGTGATAAAATTCACAACCTAGGAAAGGGCAACAGGTATTTAGGTGAGGATAATATTTCTTATGAAAAGATAAATGAAAACTAAAGCCACCGAGGTATCATCCTTAGGACGGTGCATATTAAGTGTATTTAACAAAGTAAAAAAGATTGAACCAAAACAACATATTTGTAATAACTTTTTGTGGTCCCCGAATATCTGTGCATATATTCAGCTCTGTTCCATGCACAATAACAACCAATGGTGAACCATTTGGAGAAGCTAACACTTGGATTTAACAATTTTCTTTAATTTTGGGGAAGGTAAAAGAAAACGAAAACTCCATGATCACCTGAAAAGTTGCAAGATATATAGTAATAAACGGGCAAAACAGTACAATAGATAGTGCAAACCAACTTCCTCGTCTGAAGGAGTATATAAAAGAGTATTCGTGATACTTCAACTGAATTCAAAGAAGGCCTCTTCTTCTCTTGTAATCACTAATTGTTAATGTCAGCGCATCCCTCCAATCATTTTTTTCCGGGACTTGAAATCCAATAATTGCTTCTATTCTCTGTTTTTTAGCCATAAACCCCGCCTGAACTCCTTGGGCTCCACCAAAGTTTTGGAGTATGGATAATGATATTGGCAGCTCAAAATCGTGCAGCACGTTTGACACTGTTCCTTGATCCACCGGAGCACTTGTGTCTACTAACTTACCAGCACCGGCAGCAGCTTTCAAAGCTGCAGCAGTAGCCGCCATGCCAGCCACCACTGTCCCAGCTGTTCCCGTCTGATAGCTGCGTACATCAGCCACCGCATCACTGGCACTGTCATTTTCAGCTGCAGCCTCTTCAGCTGGTTTTGCGGCATAGTAATTTCTTGATCTAGTCCACCTCCTTGAAAATGGATCATAACCCGCCTCCCCTGCTTTCAAATCCTTATTTATTGGCTTCAATTCAGAAGCATTTTTGAAGTTCTCAAACCTGTTCTTTCTATTCATCTCAGAAAGCTTCAAAGCCCTGGCATCCTTCTCCTTAGACTGCCGAGATTCCTCCAATTCTTGCAATCTTGTCATGATACTCTTCACTTCAGCTTTATTTTGCTTACTCTGTGCTATTTCTAATTGCGTCCTTAACCGATCTTTCTCAGCTGCAATATTTAGTGGCCTTGTTTTGGCAGATTTTTTCTCTTGCAACATCTGCTTCACAGTAGCTGCTGAGTAAACAAACAAGTTGGTCTTTTGTATAGCTTGTTTTTTTTCTTCCACTTCTAGCTTTGTTGGCATCCGACCACCTCTTTGTTCTACTTCCTTAACCCATTGGATGAACTCCTCCTCAAGTGGAAGAGAGTCGCTAACCATAGCCATTTGCCACCTTGCAGCAGAAGTTTCATTTCCCCAGACAAGATTTAAGTACTTGTGTGTGATTTTATTTTCAAATTTATACTGTCGATCACAATCTGTGGCATCAACATTTTTTACCATGCAGAGCCTGTAGATAGGCCCAAACTTTGATCTACCAATACCAACTCTTACAAAACAACCAGCAATTAACTCCTCAAAAAAGGGCTCCATGAGCCATTTTGCAAGTTTCGATCTGCGAATGGTGATTTCTTTTATATCCTCAAATGAAAGCCCTTCAGATCTTAACATTATCCGGTCATCATCACTGTCAATGATTCTGTCGTCATCACTTGACTCTTCATCATCACTGAGGGACCTATTTTCACTGTCACTGGAACTAGTGAGACTTGTTGAAGAAAAGGGTTTGTGCTTTGGTGAAACCTTTACAGGCCCTGAACTTTTGGATGCCTTACTTAGTCTGCGGTTGGCTTCTGAATCTTGCTGCTTTAATCTTTTTGCACGCAATTCATTTAATGCACCATGCTTGGCAGTTGACCTATCAGCTGATCTGACTGATGAACGCACACGAGATGGTGAGGGAGGTGAAGTCTGTTTCCGAGGTATAGTTGTCTTTCCCTTCTCCCGCTTTGATGCTATCTTCCCCAAAAAATCTTTATCATACTTCTTGGTAGCCCTATCTGACAATATCATCTCTCTTTGAAGTTCAGTCATCTCAGAAAGTTTACGCCTATCATCTTCATTCTTATAAAGATCATCACCAAAATCAGATTCATCGCTACTAGCACCCTTGTGATCAGATCGGTCACCAACATTATCATCCCCTTCTTCCCGACTTCCCTTGCCATCATCATCTCTTTCCTTTGGATCAAATCTCCTCTTTAGAGTAACCTGTGAACCAGAGTGATTTCGTTGATAATCATGTTCATCATCCGAATCATCCTCCCTTCTTAAAGTTGGACGAGAGTGTCGGGTTCTCCCAGCCGCCTCCAAGAGTAAATTTTCTAAATCCGCCATAACCCCCTTCACTTCAGCTTAAATCCAAATATATCCTACCACATAACACAACACAATCACCCATCCAATCCATACAATAAAAGTTTACTGAATGCGTCTACATTAACACAAAACATCTAGTGAGAACAAATTTAAAGTGTTCAGTGCAGGCTTTTCTCGCACATAATCTCCAATTCCAAATTTAAAACCATAAATGTTAGCAAGCAAATAAACATTCACCAAGATTTTAGAACACAGTCCTCAACATCAAGGTTTCTGGGGTTTCTAGAACCACAGAGCAATACATTTATCCACAATTTACCAAAAAAGCCCTCAGAAAATGAAAGACAAATGCAATTATTGGAGGCACGATTACATTGCATGTGACCTAAAAACCCTCAACGTTACAACCAAAACCGACCACTTGAAAAATCCTTATCTGCGAAATCAAGTAACTCAACAAAACCACGTCCACAGTTTAAAACCTTATAATTCAGTGAACAATTCGATATGCAACCTCTAACCCTCTCAAACTATAACATTCAAATTCAACAATGAAAGTCAAAGAACAGTCGCTAAGAGTCTGAAAGGTAACAAAATGTTAGAAAAGAGAACAAAAGCAAAGAAACAAAACAATGTGACAGGAGTAAGGTTTGATGATGATCATAACGATATAAAGCAAGGATTGAACTGGAAGATGAATGAGAAAGAACTTACAGGGAAAGAAAAGGAAACATGCAGAATTTTTTGGGTGACTTGCAACACAGCGATGTGTGAGAGAGAGGATTGAGAGCACTACAACCCTAAAGCATCGACCATTCTTATTGAAGGAGCGAGCAAGTAACCTCATAATCTCGACTTTGCTGCTGCCTTTTATATCTTCCTGCTTCGAACGCTCGTTTTACTTTTTCTATTTTTTTTTTTCATCATGGACAATGCAATTCTAGTAAATACATTGGTAATGTCTTATTTCTTAAATTTTTTATTTATATTTTATAAAATTAAAAATAATTTTATTATATAAAATTAAATATATTAAAACTTCTTAACTTATCTTAGTACTAGTTAAGATTTCTCAATACCGGATAACTCACTATATTTTATTTTTCTATCAAAATAATTTCATACATTGATATATGAAAGAAACTTTAAAGTAAGTACCTAATTTTGAATTAAAAATAATTTATTTTATTTTATTTTCCTATCAAAATAATTTCACACATTAATATATAAAAAAAACTTTAAAATAAGTACTTAATTTGAATTAAAAATAATTAGAGCTGGAAACGCCTATTTCCTTCTTTTAGAATCCAAGGGGAACTTATCATGTTTAGAATCTTTCTGCGGTGTGCTCTGTTTACTATTCTTTCATGAACTCTTCTCCTTACCATGGGATATATCAGCAAAGCGTGAGCGGGCGCGGAGAAGGAAACGCCAAACACTTCGCCCTAAGCCTAACGGGAATGACCAACAACGAAATCACAAGATGCGAAAATATATTCTACAAAATTTAGAATCCAGTTTAGATCCAAAAGCCAATCCTACATCAAACAGAATAAACTACTCACAAACAAAGCAAATCCAGACTCAAGCCAAATGCGAATGGGAAATAGAACCTAAACTGGATCAAATATAATGTTAACACACCAAAACCAAATCAAGACACAGATGTAAGAAACAAAGCAGAGTAAAACCAGACCCACTCGGCTTGGCCCGCAACGAGCTGGGTGACGCGGCAAGCTGAGATTGAGATGGCTCGCGGTGGTGGTGGTGGCGGCGCGCGGAGGCGCGACAGTGGGGGCTGTGCGCGATGCGTAGAGTGTCGCGATTTGGGGGTCCGGTGGAGTTAAAAGGTGACTTTGGAGGTGGCCGCGTGGGAGAAGTAGGCTGGAGAGGGACAGCGTGCGACTGGTGAGCGTGGGGGAGACAGGTTGGTGGTGGCCGGTGGCTCAGGTGGGTGGAAATGGTGGCTGGGTGCTGGTGGTGCGGTGGTTTTGGGATAGGGAGCAGCTGGACGATGGGATGCAGGGGAAGGTGGCGTGCGGTGCCGGTGAGTGGTTCGACTGGTAGGTGGTCGGTGATGCGGAAGAGATGGGTGGCTGATTCCAATGGGACCAAAGGGATTAGAGCAGCTAAGTGAGTGAAGGATGGGGAAAGAGAAGATGAAAGTGGGGAGAGTGGTGTGGCATGGCAGCGGGGCGGGCGTTGGCGGGTTTTGCGTTCTCGGTGAATTATTTAAAAAATATATATATTTATAATAAATTAATTTCAATATTTTTATATAATTTTTTATATATAAATAAATCTTTATAATTTGTAATTAGTATTAATTAAATATATTAAATTTATTATGTTTATATTAAAATATATATGTTAAAAATATTTAATTATTATTTTATAAAGACATAAAATATTTATATTATTATTATTATATTTAAACATTTAATTTAATTATTTTTCGGTTATCATTTAAGAATATTAAATATATAATTTATAAAAAAATATTCAATAAATTAATTTTTATATAATTATATCAAAGTGATAAATTTTTAAATTTTAAATTTTTAAAAGTATAATATTAAAATAAAATTTCATATATAATAAATAAAAATACTAAAATAAAAAAATAACATAATAAAATGTACTAAACATAAATTATAAATAAAATAATATTAATTATTATTAAGATTATTTTAAATAATTAAAATAAATAAAATTTTATTTTATATTCATAAAATTAGTTAAAAATTTGGAGAAAAATAAATTGAGTTAAGAGATAAAAGAAATGAAAAAAATAAAATGTAAAAAGAAGAAAATAATATAATAAATTAATTGATGTAAAAATTAAAAATATAAAATAATAAAATAATAAAAAATTTGAAATTATGAAATATAAAAATAAATAATTCGATGAAATAAAAATATTAAAATATTAATATTTTAAAATTTAAATATAAAGAGATAAAGTATACAATACTCTGGTTTTTATGACAAAACAATCTCAAATTTATTTTAATTCTTATTTTTATATTTTTATTATATCTAATATCTAGACGTGTATTTGTGTTTTTTTTTTAATTATTATTATTATTATTTATTTATTAACTAAAGAATAAAATGTTATGAAGAAGAATTAATTATTTTTTTCGTTCATTTTTCATTTTTTCACTTATTTAAAAAATAAAATATTAAAATAAATATAACTAGTTTTTTTTTCAATTTTATTTTTCTCATTTTTTAAATATTTTTCTTTATTCTATATTTTCAAAATAAATATATATATTTTCAATAAAATTTGTAATTATTCAGATGAAACTGGATATTGATAATTTTCATTTTAATATTTTATAAAATAAAAAATTATTATATAATTAGGTATATTTTATTCTTGAGATTCAATCTATTTAATAATAAATATGTTACAAACTTCTTAAGTTGTCTTAGAAAACTTAACATTGTTTTTAATAAGCAAAATCTATTTGTTTGTTGGAAAAATAGTGAAAGATTAGTATTGAAAAATTAGCAGAGAATAAAGTAATCCATACAAAATATATTTTCCATTTATTTATAAATAAAAATAATTTTTAAAAAAATATTATTTATAAAATTATCTTCACTTTAATGAATTTTTATGTTTATAATCTCAAATATTTTATTTTTTTAATTTTAATTTCATCCAAGTATGTTGTATTTTTACATTTATATATTTTTGGGTCACCTAATTATTTATATAAAATGCTAATATATTTATGATGATATTTTTAAAACTTATTTACAAATATTATTATTAATATATTATACCTAAATAATTAAAAAGTCAACTTATAGAAGATAGGCTGTATTATTGAAATCAATTAACTATAATCTTTTAAAACATTTATATGATAATTAAAATATTTTTAAGCAATATGATTGAGATATTTGAGATTTGTTTCATTGATATTAGAAATATGTGTGGATAAAAGAATTTAATAAATTTAAAATAAATATTTTAACCTAAACACTGTATTCTTATTAACAGTAACTATTAATACTTTCATGGATGTAGACATTTTTCACATTTGATTATTTTTTATAAGTGAGATAATTTATATTTCTACCTGTATAAAAGTAAATTAAAAAACAAACTAACTAGTAGTTGAAAATTGAAACTTTTAAATTATATACGTTGGATTAAATTATTTATTAAAATAATTATAAATGTAGAATGAAAGATACTTATATTTATATAATTTTTTATTTTATTAAATAACAATATACTTTTGAGACACGTCGTTTTAAATTGTAGTTAATTTAATTTTTATTTATAAATTATTTATTTAAATTAAATTTTTATTCTATTTATTATATTTTTTTACTAGTATATTTTTTTCATAAATCAAATTCGAAAAAAATATAATCTATTAATATGATATACTGAAATAATCAAAATTATGTTATAAAAATAATAGATAAATTAAAATAAAATAAATTTATTTACTGTTAATAGTAATCTTTAAGTAATAAAAATAAAATATAAAAAATAATATTATTTAAAATTCGTTGATTAACAAAATTATATTTTCTGTAAATCTCTTAAAAAATTTATTTATTTATCTTAAAATACATGTATAAAATAATAGTTAAAATATTTGGAAAAATAATTTTCTTATAAAATTAAAATCATTTTTTTATTTTATTTTACAAGGCAGACCCATTGCAAATATCCATAACGGAGGAAGCCCAAAGACAATATCTTATTATTATTATTATTTGATTGAAATGTAATAATGGCAGTATCAAATTTAGATTTTACACATTATAAATATTATAACGAATTGTATATTAGATGTTTGAGAAAAGGATGGTGTAAAAATAGTTTTTTCCTTCTAGTAACGTCTTATTCTATATTATAAATAGGTACAAGGTAGAGTAGGGAGATAAGCTGATATTGGTTTGTGTGTTTCTCATAGTACAATGGCAACTCAAGGTCAAGTCATCACCTGCAAAGGTACCCATTCTCTCCTTCATGTTCTTCTTCATCTCATTCTTCTAGGTTCAGATCTAATTAAAAACTAAAGACCTGGTAATGTAAGCATGATGTGACATCGTTTTGATGTAGCTGCGGTGGCCTGGGAACCCAACAAGCCTTTGACGATTGAAGACGTCCAGGTGGCTCCACCTCAGGCCGGCGAGGTTCGAGTCCAAATCCTCTACACCGCTCTCTGTCACACCGATGCGTACACTTGGGGCGGCAAGGTAGCTACTTTCTGTCTTTCACTTTGTTAAACTGTTTTTGAATCCATTAATTTGTATTTCCTATTTTTGGATTGAATTGTGATAAAATTCTTAATGTTGCAGGATCCCGAAGGTCTCTTCCCCTGCATTCTGGGCCATGAGGCTGCTGGGTATGGATGCATGTGTAGTATATGAATGTGATTATGATTATTAGTGTTCAAAAGGAGAATGTTTAAGTTTCAATTTATTGGCAGGCTTTATTGGTTTTATGGATAGGGGTTTTGGGGGTTTTTGCCTTTTTGTTGCAGGATTGTGGAAAGTGTTGGAGAAGGTGTAACTAATGTTAAGCCTGGGGATCATGTCATTCCCTGTTACCAGGCTGAGTGTGGGGAGTGCAAGACATGCAAATCAGGGAAGACCAACCTTTGCGGCAAGGTTCGGTCTGCCACTGGAGTTGGGGTCATGCTCAATGATGGCAAGAGTCGGTTCTCGATTAATGGAAAGCCCATTTATCATTTCATGGGAACCTCCACTTTTAGTCAATACACTGTTGTTCATGATGTCAGTGTAGCTAAGATTGATCCCATAGCTCCTTTGGATAAAGTTTGTCTCCTTGGATGTGGAGTTTCAACTGGTAAATATTCTCCTTTACTTTTATATGGAGATTTTTCAAGTTGTTTGTTATGGGGTCTTATGTATGATTCATGAAATGTTTATGGAGTTGGACAATGATGTTGTTACAAACTTATACCTGTGAAGATGTAATTTATTGCATCCTTTGTCTTGCCATACCGCTGTATATAATATTAGACTATATGTCTCCAATCAGAGTCGCAAATTCCTGCTCTTCATTTTTTAAGGTTAATAATTAACATGCTTTGTGAAAAATGAAAATGTTACTTTACTGAATTTTTTTTTCATCTTTCTTTGTTTCTTTCTCAACGCTATGAAATGTGTGATCTTGTTGTGTCCTTCCATACCAAGTTCACTTATTATTATGAAATTGTGAAATCTACTTTCCCCCACTTTTTAGGCCTTGGAGCTGTCTGGAACACGGCAAAGGTTGAGCCAGGGACAATTGTTGCTATTTTTGGCCTTGGAACTGTTGGGCTTGCTGTAAGTTTCTGAAGTTACAATTGTAGACGTTTATGTTTTTGCCCTCTTGGGTTGCTATCATGATTTGTAATTTGTACTTGACAGGTTGGAGAGGGTGCAAAAGCTGCTGGTGCATCCCGGATTATTGGCATAGATATTGACAGCAAAAAGTTTGATATAGGTACAAAATTAACTGGGTTATTCAAACATAGTAAGGATTTCTTTAATACTGTGAAGTGATTCGTTGCCATGTTTCTAATTTTTTAGTTTTGTAGAACTAATGTTTCTCTAAGTATTGATTATCATCCTTCTAAAAAGTTATACTTTTAGAAGAATGAAACTGCTTTGGAACTTAATATGTATGTTCTTTTGGTATCTATTTGTATTTATTTAATTTCTTGCTACATTGTTTTTCTTGTGCCCTAAGTATTAGACCTATATATAATATAGGTACATGCATAGTGTCTATGAGCTATTTTCTGATTTTTGGTTTCCTCAGTTTTGGTTTTATAGTGCGAGTATGGTGATAGGGTAATACAGAAGAGATTCTTCACAATGATAATTACTTTTTCATTTTTTACCTTGCAGCGAAGAACTTTGGAGTCACTGAGTTTATAAATCCAAAGGAACATGAAAAACCAATTCAGCAGGTCATAATTGATCGTACAGATGGTGGAGTTGATTACAGCTTTGAGTGTATTGGAAATGTTTCTGTGATGAGGGCTGCTTTGGAATGCTGCCACAAGGTAAATGCTGCTACCACCACATTGACTCCATTTTTAAATATTACACTATGATGGTTGTACAATTGAAATTTTCTTTGAAAATTCCCAGGGTTGGGGGACATCAGTTATTGTGGGTGTTGCAGCATCAGGTCAGGAAATATCAACCCGACCTTTCCAATTGGTGAGTGGACGTGTCTGGAAAGGAACTGCTTTTGGTGGCTTCAAGAGCAGGTCACAGGTGCCTTGGCTTGTAGACAAGTACCTGAAGAAGGTAAAAAGGATTTTAGAAGTGTTTTGTTCATTTATTCAGCACTGTTAGAAAACATGAATGGTTATGAGGCTACATTGTTTCCTGTCTGCTCTACTTGTTTTGCAGGAAATCAAGGTTGATGAATACATTACCCATACTTTGACACTCTCTGAGATCAACAAAGCTTTTGATCTCTTGCATGAGGGGGGATGTCTTCGTTGTGTGCTTTCAACACAAGAATGAGGTGATATATGGCAGCCTGGTTAGTTTCGTGAGGAATGGATATGTTGGGTCGCTTTTCCTTCTTGTAGTGATTGTAGTTTAAACATCAAATAAATCTGGAGTGGCTATAGCTTGTTAGTAAGATCGTGTTGGCGAACTTGTGGTCAGAAGGGCAGTACAGTGAATACTTGGTCATTGTTTTTTTTTTTGGAGTTATGGCTATGGTATTATCCTATTTTACCTGTCAATAATCATCTTTCTTCACCACTCCATCCTTTGGGTGGCAGACACCATTAGCTGTTTTACTTTTGGTATGTTATTGTGCTATGTCAAGAAGTTCCAAAGCCAGGCTGCCCAATTTTCAATGAATCTATTTCCTATACCCTCTCTATCTACAATTCTCCTTTCTCTGTCATCACCATGTTTCGTGTATAATACTTCATTTTGGAAACTGTTCCAAAGTTGTATCTGTCACACTAATAATCGGTTTTCTAAGCATTGACATCATGAAGCTGGCATGTCATGAACGTTAGCCTCGGAAACAATCTTTTTAAGAATTTCTGCATGTAGCCGGCCTGGAGTAAATGCTCAAGAAATCAACTAAACATTTACTCACCAAATAAATGAATCAAAAAAGAAGAAAAATCATCTGGCTGAAGTTTAGGCATGAAAGGGAACTTTGACTACTTACTTTTTAAATAATATTAATGTCATTCCTCGATGTGTACATGAATTTATGCTGTTTAAAAATTGAAACTAACGATACTAATATTTTAAAATTTTAGATGTGATAATTAAATTCAGTGGGATATTATCATTGTTAGATAAAGAATTGATAATAAATCCTGATATTATCAGGATATATGTGAGATCGGGATATTCTATTTGTATGAAAAACAACTATTATAATTTTAGTCTTTTACTAAGATCTAACCAAAGACGTTAACAGGTTAACTTAAAAAAAAAAATATTAAATAAATTTATATGTCCCCGTACTGATTTTTTTTTTTATTTGTTTGCTGATATTTATAGATCAGATGCTTAACTTTCTATCTTGCTGGCTGATTATTTTAGGTATCTGTCTCTAATAAAGTCATTTTTGAAAATGACAACGTTAATCAAATAACAACACACCAATCTTTATGATTGATTGAGCGTAAATAGGATGAATGTGTCCTTTTTTTTACTATTTATTTGAAAAGAAATATATGATGGAAGTTATTTGGACCACATGTTTATCACATTTGATTTTTACGTTATTTTTTAGAAATTAAAAAAACAATTCTGTGTTAAAAAAATATGGTAAATAAGGTTTTATTTAAATTTATATTGATTAGTGAATTTTTTTCGAAAATAATTTATTTATTTTTACCCATTTAACCTATATGAATAAATAGGAACAAATTTCAAACTTTTTTGTTTCAGAGTTTCTTTTTATTTTTCTTATCTTTTTATCTTTTTTCCCTTTCACAATACCCTTTTTCCTTTTTTCCAGATCAGATGTAGTTTAGTGTCTGTGAGTCTGTAATAAATTGACATCCACAAGGCTACGATTTATTTATTTTAATAAAGTAACGAATTACTGAACCCTTATCCAGTGAAGTTTGCTGTATTTCACGTTGTGGAAGTAATTTTGATGTGGTTAATGAACTTCTTGTGCCCTTTCTAATATGTAAGAAAACTTTACATTTTTTTTTTCACTTTGAATTTTGTGTAGAAATTTTTTTCATTTTAAACTTTATACAAAAAAAAGCTTTTACATACTAAAGCACAGTAAAAAAAAAAAGAAGAAGAAGAAAAAACAGAATGCATCAAAATGAAAATCAAGAAGTTCACATTGTACATTAAAAGTCTCGAGCATTTTTAACATTTTTTACACTTGTCTATAGTATAACATTTTTAATGTAGGTTTTTAATAGATTCTTAGAATTATAATTTAATTTGTATCAAATTTTATATTAAAAAAATGAGTTGACTGAAATGTTAGAGAATCAGTTTTTTATCATAAAAAAAAAACTGACAAGAATTTGTTATTTATTTATTTTTTAATTAATAAAGGAGAGAAATACACAAATGGTTTGAATGCTCTAAAGTCAATTCACAACATCTTATCATACATCCTACGACAACCCGATTAATAAAAATAAGCAACATTTAGAAAAGCTAAGAGGAAGAAGTAATGCACATTTTTTTTTCTTAGACACCCCTTTAAACATGTTCTATATCTTCTTGAACAGTCTCAACATTTTTACTTTTAATCTAAAAATATTTTAAAAAAATTAATAAGTTAAATAATTTGTCATTTGCAATCCATAATAATTTTTTTATCAATATATATATATATATATATATATATATATATATATATATATTGTAAATGATATTCAATGGTTTCTAATTAAAATAGCTTTTGACATTTTTAAGAGTTAAATTTTTAAAAGTATGATTTTAATTTAATAATTTTATTTATTTATATTACCATTAAATTAATTTAAATATTATTTTAATAATTATGTTCTCTTATTTCAGAAATACTACTTTTAAGTAAAGTAGTTTATTTTTTAAAAAATAATTTTAAATATTAAAGTTATAAAAATGAAAATTGTGAAAAACATTTTTTATTTTATTTTTAAAGTTAACAATAACCTCTTATGAAATCATAACTATAACCATCAAGCAAAACTATCTTTAGTTTTTCAGTATTTACATTTTTTTAAAACTACCACTGAATTCATCAATAACTCATTATTAACAATATTCTTTATTAATAAAAATATATACTTACTGGTAAATATTTACAATAGGCAAAAAAAAAAAGAAACAAATTATTATCATATAGAAATTATAAAATTTCATATAAAAAATTCATCTATTCTAAAACAGATCTTGTAAATTTTTTTCTTAGTTTTTCTTGTGTGGGTTAGGCTGACAATGAATATTTTTTAATAAAATATAAAGTGATTATAATAATTTAATATATTTTTTTATTTGTTTGTATTATAATATTATTTTATTAATTTAAATTGAAATATATTTTTTTAATTATAATAAAAAAATTTATAATTCAATATCAAAGTATGTATTATTAAAAAGATGAGATATTAATTCAAAACTATTTTATTTATAAAAATAAATAAAATAATAATTATATATGTAATTTTGTAATTAAACAAATATTTAATATTACTTTAATTATTTATTATTTTTAAAATAAATATTTTCCTTTCATTTCTCTTTTTTCCTTTTCTTACATTTTTTTTTCTTTGCTAATGAAGTAGATCTAAGTGTTTACTTGGTTGCAATGCATGATCCTACTAATAAAGATATGGAGAATTTTTTTGAACTATTTTGGTTTGAAAATTTGAATTGGAGTATTTGAAGTATTTTAATCTAGGGTATGTTTCTGTTATTTTTAAGGATTTGTTTGTTTATTTATTTTTTATAAGAACTGAAATGAAGAAAATGTTATGCATTAAGAATATAATGAAAGAACGTACAAAACGAAATCATGATCAACTTTGTTTAACAGAACGCTAATATAATCATAAGTTTAACCATCAACATGATAGTGACTAATTAAGTTCAAAGATTTAGACCAAATAATGAAAAAAATCATAAACTTATTTAGAAATTTCTTGATTTTTAATACGACAATACATTACATTTTTTAAGAACAAAATCTATGATTTATTCAATAAAAAAGATGACATGACATGTATGGTACAGGGACAGTGGTAATAGTCTGCACTCACAACAATTACTCAATTACAAAACATGAACAGGTGAACCCAAGAACACATCCCTCCATAAAAAAACAGGGACAGTGATTCCTTCCTCTGGGTTGGCACAATGATTTTAGTACACGGCATTTGTAGTCTATTACTATCAACATTGTACAAATTTTGTTGACTCACATCTCAACTTTCTGTGTCATTCCAAACATTGGATTAATTCTAGGATTAGCAAAGTTTTTCATCTGGACTAGACTGGAGGTGTTCCCCTATGAAATCAAGAGCTATATCTTCAACAGTGACAACAAACATGTCTAACAGATGTATAACACCATTTGGTCTAAACGTGGCATGAGACTATGACTGGCCACTCTCAAAGCTTGACAAACGAGTATCTGATAAAACAGTGAAGAGCTGTGTATCTACAAAAAGCTGCATAGCCAAGGATTCAAAATCAATAGCTTAAGCTAAATGTAATTATATACAACAAGCAAATTTTGTTCTAAACTAGGATCGCAACAAGACAACTATATATATATATATAACAGTAATATCAATGCTAACGTTTTTTATTGAAATGAATAAGAGGATGTAACCTTAATGAATGGTTGATCCCTAGCAGGAAAGGAATCAATGAAGCTATCTTTAAGAAGTAAAGAAACCTGAAAAATTAAACCAGGATGAGCTAGGTAGTGCAGCAGATTACCAAATTTTAAGAATTTCCAATATCACATTAACGTAGTTATCTTACCCTATCTTTGTTTGATTGTACACTAGTTATCGTGTGGGATTTCAGATCTGAACAAAGTGACTCCAAATAGTGCCACATTATGTTCAAAAACTTAGTTGCAGCTTCGGCCTGTGAACAAGTGAAAATTAGCAGTTGCTACTAATGGTTGGAGCATCAGAAGCTAGAAGCTAAATAAATGCTGGTTTGTGAGGCATGAATTATTCATATGAGTGTGTGAGACAGAGATCTTTAGTATGAGAACTAAGAAAACCTGGACTTCGTTGCACCTATGTACAGGATGCTTTCTAGCAATTGATCTTTCATTTGAAAGTCTAGCATGAAATGGAGCCAACTGAGAGAGAAGCTCTTTATGCTGTGGAAGTTTTGGTAATGGACACATTGTAACCTACAAAAGAAATCCAAAATGGAAGAGAAACATGAGAAAAATTCTGCATGGTACAGCATAAATAGACAAAATTTGAAAATAGCCAAATGATTGTTACTTTAGTTGTCTATATGCATATATATATATATATATATATAAGCCCAAAATTTGGAAACCAAAGACATGACAATGTAAATTAAGTGTAACAAGTTTCCTACAGACTCCCAATATTTCTTGTTAGTATCTTGAAAATGTCAGTACAAACCTGGTCCTTCAGTATATTAACAAGAACAAGATTAGTAGTTCTCATATTCAAGTTATCTGGTCTATGTTGGATGCCAACCTGCAAGCATAATAGAAAATTGGATGAACAATTGAGATGAGACCATTCTTTAAAATTCAAATGCTTATCAAGAAAAAAACTAAATTCTCATATGATAGATAACCATGTTGGAAAATAAATGCCAGTTTGAAGTTACTTGTAATCCATGCATGAACATTTAAAAAAAATAAGAGAATTTTCTAATCTGATCCTTCTCTTCCTCTCTCCGTTACTATTTTTGGTCTCATTTTTGTCTTTCAAGTTTCAGAAAAGATTTGGAAAAAGAGGAAGCATACTTTTAACATGAAATAAAGCTGCATATCAGAATAGGGTATCGTATCGTTCATATATTGAAAGAACAGTAGCATTATTAACATGAACATGCTAATCCTCAATCCAACATACAGACTTTATCAATCCAAAATGAAATTGAAGGTATGTACATATCCTAAAAAGCAACAAAGATTTTGATATTAAAAAACTTAAAACAAGCTTCTACCATAAGATTTTCCATAAACACTTCTAGAAGAAGAAACATGAAAAAAGTTTTTTCCATGAACTAAAATTAGTTTATGTGCAAGTTAAAATTATTTAGCTTATCCAAAGAGTTATTTTTAACTCATGCATAAACTAATTTCTTTTTCTATAATGCTAAGCAACAATGAACGCTAAAGCAGTAGTCAACAAAACAATATAATATGAAACAACATATTTTATAAACATGAGAGAAAACGAAACTTACAATATATGGAACTGGGGCATCAAGAAAATCGATCATTGTCCCAGGTAAAATCTGAAAAGCAAGACTAATATATTGTTAGACCTATGTGAGGATCTCACGTGGAAATCTAAAACCAGGGCTTGTTGAATCCAGAGACTCACCGGGAGCAATAAACTCTGCCACTGAAAAGGACGAATCATGGGAATGAGAGAAAGCACTGTGGCAGATAGAACACCCTGCATCATGTCAAAAATTGCCAAAATGAAAGGCAGGTTGCAATTCCACTCTACATCAATCCAAATTAATCAACAGAAGCAACTATGTTCTAAGCATACAACATTATAAGGTGTTAGCATAGTTTAACTTGTTAAAATAGATTATCTTGTCTTCTTAGAAAAAGTTGTTATACTTTGTACCTATTTGTCACACAGGTGTAGCCTTTTTCATTTACATTCTTTGTATTTCTGATGTATGCTTTCCTATAAATAATATATGGATCAGCTAAGAGATAATGAATCTCTTAAACCTTTTTCTCATATTTTTACTCTTATGTTGGTATAAGGGGCTGGTTCAATCTAGGAAACTGTGGTTTATGGGTCCACCAAGCTTTCACTACACATTCAAATAAAGGTATTGCAATTTTTCAAAGCAAATATGCTTTAGATATATGGAAGAAACAGAGATTATTATTGTAGACTAGAGAATAATCCTATGAATCCAAGTAAGGAATAAAAGAGCAAAGTGAACTTGTCTCAACTCGAAAGATATAGACATTTGCCGGAAACTTATTTATCTCATTATTATTAGACTTGACTTGTCTTTTGCACTTATTTTATATGTTCCAAGTTTTATAGATATAATGCTCCGGTTTGAGGACGAATGCTAACATAGTATAACTTGTTAGAATAGGTTAACTTGTCTTCTTAGAAAAAAAGCTTATTTACTTATACCTATCTGTCACCTAGGTGTAGCCTTTTTCATTTACACTTTGTATTTCTGATGTAAGTTTTCCTATAAATAATATATGTATAAGTTAAGAGATAATCAATCTCTTAAGCCTTTTTGCCATATTTTTACTCTCAAGTTGAGGAAAGTCAATGACTATCAATTAGTATGATAGTTTTAAGGACTTACCAGATTCGGGCACATTATTACCACCTGCTTTTCCAACAAGACTCCTGTAATTAATGACATCACCTGCCAGTAATGTTATGGATAAAAAAAAAATTTAGACAATGAAGAAAGTAAGCAAGATATTAGCATCTAATTTAGTAAATGGAATGAGTCAAAATCTTCAATAGGTATTGGAGAGGCAATGGCCATGGGAAACAGTCTACGTGATGCAAAGGGCTCAGTAAATCATCTTCTTTCACAAAGCTAAATTGTTTCTGCTAGTGATTATATAGAATCACAAGGATACTCCTTATTTATGTGAATAAAAAACATAGGGAAAATGAAGATGTTAGGGAAGCTACATTGATATATTCCTTTTTTTTAAGAAAAATCTTTTCTCAAGAAATATTTGGGTTCATTTTAGTTAGAGGATATAAAATAGTTGCTTGGTTGGGTTGGTTAAACCAAACGCCCCTAAACTATAAAATTCAATAAATAATGTTATCTAGGTTAAGAACTAGAATAACTAAACTGCAAAACACAGCAACCAGAACAGGAAACATGAGCTAGGACAAAAATCAATCGGAATATTTTTCTGCATAAAAAATCAATAAAAAGATTAAATTAGTGGAAAAAGAATAGTTTAAAAAGATTTTATGCATAGAATACAAGAAATGAATTCTTAGAATAGTTTCTATATAGAACTTCTGAGATAGACAGACATTAACATTGTTGAATGTCAACAGGAATATGTGCTTACACTATCAAGGGACAGAACTCGACAAGTAGTCGCCATTGTCCATACTGATAATGATAGAGCTTCCTCAGCTGCTGCCAGCTTCGTGTTGTCCTTTTACCAAGTACAGTTGTGAGGAGTATACATATTTTTGGTTAAGTATTGTTTTGAAAATCACTAAGGAATTACCTGAGCTGGTTCAGAACAATTAAAATCATCTCCGATGCCTAGAGCAGCAACTGAATGTCGTATGTACTGAATAGCTTGTAGATGTTCGAGAGGGTGGAAGACAAATTCACTTCCTCGAGGTGGAATAGGTTGAGCATGGTATCTACAAACTATTTGTAGCAAATCATTCTTATTCTCCTATCATATGCATTCACAAAAGGAAAATGTAAAATTCCAATCAAACATCACTTCAGTTTAATGAATGAAAACCATTTTACACTAACCATGGCCCATTCCATTAACAAGTCATCCCCATAATCTCTTTCGTTGTTTGAGAAAAACTCGTCATCATCTTCTAATGCCATGCTTCTAACTGGACTGCCAATGAAAACAATATGGATTGAAATTGAATTGGAATTAAACATTAAATGTCTAAAAGACACACACAAACACACCAACAAAGTAGACAGATGGATGAACTATATAAAATCTGAAAACTTTATGCACCATAATTGCTAGATATGTGATACAACTCCAAAGTTGGGTCACGAGACAAGTAATGAGTGTGAGCCCAATTATCAGAAGGAAACTCATATGGATAGGCCAAAACGTGAAAGAAAGAAACCAAGATGACTTAGAGGATTTCAGCTCTAAATTGTTTTCATTTATTGCCCATTCTGTCTTGATTTCAGTTTTATACGTGTCATGTAATCCGTGTACCACGGTAACAACTTTAGCATGTTATTTGTATCGAAACAGTGAATGCAAAGAGGGGGAATTAAATCCAGAAATTCTTTCTTTCTTAGTGGAGTTGCTCTTACTCGAAAAGAGTCTTTTTAATCATACCTATCAATATGTAGCACTATAAATAGAAGAAAATAGTGATGACAATCCACCCAAAAGTAAAATTGAAACAAATATTATAATTATAAATTTATTACCTGAAAAGTGATTCGGAACTTCCAAGGCGCTCCAAGGCAAGAATCTGATTAGAAGGTGTTCTAACTTTTGGAGAAACTTGGCCATTTTCGCAATTTCCATGCATTCTTGGTATAGAACGAAGAGTTTCTGGTGCCTTGAAAGCAGCATTATCAAGAACTTGGATATTCTTCTTGTCATCCTTGTCTACATCCCTGACCTGAGAAAAATGTGGAGACTCACTGGCCGTCACACTTACAGGAGACTGGCAGTGAGAATCACATATTTTAGGTGATAACTGTAGGGCTTCATCATCAGATATAATCCCAGCAGCTGCAGCAGTAATAACAGCTGCACCATCAACAGGAATTGCAGAATCCATCCAGTCACTAAATGACTCCCTCTCCGGGGAGTTAGCCTTTGAACTCATTTGATCACCTAGTTGGGGTGATGATGGAACGCTGCCAGTGAGAGTCATCTCATTTATAAACTGAGTTATCCTATTCAGGCGGTCCTGTGCAATGAGACTGCATCAAAGTAAGGCATAATAAATTCTACAGGATCTAGGGAAAATCAAAGGATATTGATCATATCTTTGCCCAGAAAAGTCAGTATATGCCAATAAGCCACAATAATGCTAACCTGTTTAACATCTCAAAGTGTAACTCAAAGAAGGGAACTCTAGTCAGAAGACAGTAACAGCGAGGTGCAGAAACCAGAAAACGGCTGACCCCAGAGGGATGAGAAAAAGAAGATGATATGCCTAAGATACCAGGGGGCCTCTGAACAATTTCAGGCACATGTAAGCAAACTCCATAAAGTGTTGTATTGTCTGCTGCCTGATCAAGACATCAAGGTACACATAATGTGTTTTCAACAATCATTACTGTAAGAAATAAATGAGAAGCACCTAAATAAAATTGATCCAAACATACATTGGATGTCTCTATGATTATAATTATATCATAGCAAAAGGTGTGCAGTAAGTTTATGTTTAATCCATGCTTTAATAAGCTTTATTTGTTTGTCAAAGAGAGACCATGTTACAAATTAAAAGTTAATTTTTGGTTCTCCTCTTCTCACTTGCAGCTTGAGCTATAACATAATGATGCTCTTTAACATCTCAAATGTTCCGGGCTGTTGAGTTGAGAAAAAAAAAAACTAAAAGTGACTCACTCAAAAATACTCAAAAAAGAATTTGAAAATAATAATATGAAGAAACTGTACACAGACACAGAATCTGATCTAGCAGAAGTCAGCTGGGGTACGGGTAAGTCAAATAGGAGTTCAATAGAACAAACATTAAGCATTCAAGCAACGCAAAAATTACCTTGACTGCAAAGACAAATGAAAGATCGTCTTTTCCTAAATGTTCCTGTAGAGAATAAAAGCAAAAAGCAAAATTATATTATCTTTAGTTGCAAAGGTGGTAAGTGCTCAATGGAAGGTTCATAATACAATGAAAATTGGATCAAGTCAATGCTTCTTTGCAACAAAAATGAAAGATCATGAAATGTAGACTTTCTCAATAGTTCTCTACACGTGCAGGCCACAATTCCTATACCAAGTATTCAGTTATGCTTACATAGCATGGATTTATTATCTAGCACACTAGATGACAAACATATTTTTCATGAAAAAAATAACTACAAGATTGATGTGGCATACATACCTGTCCATAGACAAGTTCATTAAGTTCACTAAGAGATGGAGTCCTCTCCAACAACCATGCCTGTAAATCAACCCTTAACAAATGAAACAGTTTGTGGAAGAGCAGATTTTATAACTTAACTAGACCTATTGTTTATAAACAAACTGTTATTTTTATCCTTGTAACAAACTGTTATTTTTATCCTAGTAACAAAATGTTGAATTCTACCAAAAATTAAAGGTGGAAAACTTATTATTTTCGTAAGAAATCATATAAATTAGAAACAAGAATAGCAGTTAATCCTAACAAGCTAAACCTACGAATGCAAGTCAGTATACTAAGATTTCTCTAGATTCCATAGACTTAGAGCAGCTCTATTGCAGATAATGTTCCTTAGTTTCTCTCTCCTTCTGACCTCACTTTTCAACTTTCAACTTTTAACTTGTTTTGTCTCTTGCCATATCATCATAATATTGGATAAGCAAGTAGTGTTAAAGTTGTTCTTACTGTGTGAGATGCCAGAGTGATAAAAATTACGTTCATGGGTGCAATGTAATGATAAAAAGATGACAGGAATTTCTTAAACCCAATATAAATCAAAATATTTATTCATTGAGAAATCAAATAATTTTGTCATTTATATATCATGGAAAGGGCAAGAGCAACATGCAATGATGGTAAAACCAATTTAGTAGCTTCATAGCAAACAATTTGTTAAGGTAGTAGTTAAAAATGAAAAAGAACTAGACAGTTCTGTGTACGTAAAATAGTATCAAACAGACCTTAACACCTTCAGGAAAGCAAAAGGGAGCTAAATCTTTCATTCGCATTGTCAGCTTCTTTGCAGGAGGATATTTGAACAGTAACTGCATGTTTGCAAAAAGGTATGAGCTACAAAGAACTTATAGATCCACAGTAATAGAGAAAATTGTAAATATAAATAAGGAGGAATCAAGTGAAGTTTTCATGCTAGGAAATTTTATTGATTATTTATATGGTAGCAGCAGATTGTAGGCCAAATAATCCCCATTCACTGTCAAAATACAGATATAATATTCCAAAACATCTTTCATAAATGTTGTGAAGTTCATCTTTATATTCCTAGGAGTAGGAGACCTAGATACCAGATATGCTCAGAGTCTATTAGCCTATAACACTTGAGAATTTAACTATAAAAATTAATTAAAAGAGAATAGCAGACAAATTGCAATTGAAATTTTCTATTATATGCAGAGACTGGCGAGCCTATTATCTCTTTCCTTCTATGTTTCTTTACATTTTCTCTGTTTTGGAGGATATATTATCCTCCCTTAATTGTTCTTTCTTTCTTTTCCCTCTAATGAAATTTCCTTTTCAATCAAATGTATTTGTTAAAAGGGATTTCATGGTAAATAATATTTAGGTTTTTGATCAAGCTTACTGCCATTGCCTGACCCATGAGTTGAAACTATCTAGTGGGGTAAAGGTACTGTTGTTATTGTTGTATCAAATGAATGTGTTAAAATATACTGATATCCAGCAAACCTGAGGTTCCAAAGTTGGTTCTTGTGCCCTTTGTTCCTGAGGCTTTCTGTAATCTATAAATTCAGGTCTTCCTTTATTCTTTTCCCACTTCTTCCTTCTTGCAAATGAATGCTCCACGGCTTCCAAATTGGCATCTGGATGCAGCCCCACAATCACAAAATGTTCAAAGAGCGATGGTGGCTCCTTATTATGTACACAATCCTACAGTAATATTCACAGCGACTTACTTCAACAAAATGATAAGCTTACATTTCTTACAAATATGTGCATGGTACACAAAGGTCACCTCCTAAAAGTTAGTGCAATAATGCATCATTGTTAATGTTCCGAGTCTACATGAAGAACCTTCAAAATAACTTTTAGCATTAACAGTATAGGCATGGTTAATTACGTATATAAGAAATATCAAAACCCTCAACACTCATGCTATAATTTCTTTCTGATAGGGCCAGACTAAGATACAGAAACAACTGCTACAAATCCTCTTCAGTTATGTATATTTGATAGCAATTTACTACTGTACTGTACAATATGGAACAAATGTATAATAAATTTCATTACTATTTGCAGATCAGTGAGGCAAGGAATGCTTTAAAAAATAAATATAGCACATGAAGGGATTCTAAAAAATGAATACCGGACTTTTAGGATGAAGCCGATACCACTGTCGTTTCTGGTTTGCCATGACCTCAGGGTTAAAATTAGCCAGGGAATCTTCTTCGCGGGATTTGCCACCCCAACGCCAAGCCCTGTGCACATGAGATTTTAATTTCTGAAGGCTATTATTACGCTGAACTCCTCTGCAAACAAGCTCACTCTGAGAACGTCTATGCACACCAGGAGACCCCATATTTGGCATGCCTGAGCCCCCATTAGAATACATATTGTGCAATGCTTCCCCTGCAACTCTGAATGCCCCCCCAGAAAAATGCTGCAGGACCCGCATTGGTGATGAGGGTCTCTCCTCCTGAAGTTCAGCCTCTCCTTTTAGCTCCATTTTCATGTCGTCCTACCTCATGCTCTCAATTTTCAGTTCACCAATCAATTGCAGCTTCCACTCCATTGCTCCATGACCACCCTTTTGAATCATTCCACCGAATTTGACGATTCTATCACATACTCATTCCAATGAGAAGACCCCAGATGTAGATTATCACCAAAATTATTCCAGGGATCCTCGTTCTCCCCAAAAGACTTTTTTTTATACGATTTAATGATCAAACAAAAATTCTTCTGGTCAGGTAGATTCCAGCTTTTCTTTTCCTTTTTTAAAATCTCAAAGTTTTCCAGCCTAATAATAATGGGCACCAACCTGGTTCTAGACCCAAGAACAATATTCTCATTAATGGCAAGATAATGCAGATAATGAAATATTCAAATAAAAAGAAATAACCCTCCAAGGCATACATTACTTGTAAAGGAAACAATAGTGAGTAAATGCAGGGAAATTCAAAGCATTGCAGGTTGTTTTGGTGTGACAAAGACACATGATGTACCTCTTTTTCGTGGCTCCTGAGGCTGGTCCTTGTCCTTGACGGAACAAAGCGAGAGAGAGGGGAGAGAGAGAAAAGTTGCCAAATATAGAAATGGAAGAGAAATGAAGGAGATGGTTAAGTGAGTGGAGGATGAAGCTTTGTTTGGAGTTTGAACAAACAAAAAAGAAAGAATGTTAATAAAATCACATAACATATAACAAAAACATAACATATCTATGATCTAACGCTGCCCCATTTGATTCCAAGCACACAAGCCAACTTTAATTAATTCATCGGACCAAGTTTTGTGGCCAATGCATGTGCATCGTAATAAAGGTCTTCTTTTTATCTTCCAATGTAAGAAAAGATAAAATTAATATTAGAAAAATTCAACCTTTAGAACCAGTGCAGCTTAAGAAGGGTTGAATATATAAATATTCTCTCTCACTTCGAGAAAAAATACAACCATGATAATTATTACTATTAATATTTTTTTTTAACTTTAGAAACTAATATAACCTCAAATAAACTGTTAATATCTTAAAAAATTTATGACTGGTATTGTTCGGGATAAATATTTACTTTATATAATTAAAGTTTATAATAAATAGATATTTTTCAATATACATTATATTATAACTAAAAATAGATATTTTTAGTCAATAAGTTCTTTTTTTCTAATTATGTTTTGATTTTTAATTTACTGTTGTTTTTAGTCTGAATTTATCTATTTTTAAAACGAGTTAATGTTACCGTTCAATTGATTTTTTAAGTAATATATAGTAAAACATATCATATAACACTCAAATATTGATACTTGTTGTTATGATATTCACCTCTTTATATATAAAAACATGTGAATTATATTTGTATTGATGTGAGATATATCCACTAATTTCTAAAAATAATCACAATGAATTGACATTAAAAATATTTAACCTATTTTTAACACATATAAATAATATTTTAGAATTCTGATAATCAATTTTTATTTTAATACGATGATATTTTTAATTATTAATAATTTATTTACAAATATTAAGATTTAATACCGAATAAGGATAAAAAGGATAAATCGAAAGAGACCAGAGCTTAGAAAAATATTTATTTCAAGAACTTCTAAATATATTGTGGAAAAAAAATCTTAATTTACATAAAGATAGTGATTAATACTAATTTTTAGGAGTGAAATATTTAGATGAAATATCTATTTCTTCTTGAAAGTTTATATTTAGAGGAAAAAAAGAAAAAAATAGAAGTAGCTTAACTCCTCTTAATCCATTAATATAATTTTTATGTTGATATCTATGTTTGATACCAGAGACGCAAGGAGGGGAACTTATGGGGTCACGTTCAAAAAAACACTTTTAAGTTTTTATTAATAAAATATATTCAGTCCTCCTAAAATTAATTTTTCGGTTCCAAATATTGATTATTCCAAATTTGATGGAATTAGATTAATTATTTATAATTAGTTTCATTTTAGCATGGATTTAAATCAAGTTTTTGTAATTTTATTCGAAAGATACGAAAAATATATTAGATTAAAAACAAAAAATTTAATTAGGCCTATTTTAATTTTGTTTATTTATATCATGATGAATATGAATTTTGGTTAAATTATGATTCAGTTAATTTTATAAAATAATAATAATTTTTAAATAAAAAAAGATATTATTTTATTAAAATATATATATATATATATATATATTATATAAATTATTTGATAACAAATTTATTTATTTTAAAAATAAATATTTAATAATTATTTATTTTAATATCTAATAATTAAGATTAATTAACATTTTAAATTAATATATTATTAAAAAATAATAAATATTCTTATTTTTTAATTAAATAGATTCTTTATTTTGTAATTTATATATTATATTTTAAATAAAAAATTAATTTCATTAATATTAAAATTTTAAAAATATATTTTTATTTTTTATTTTCATTTAAATATTTTTGAATTATTTATTTTGATTTAACCACTTTAATAATTTAAAGAAAAAATTAAAATTAATACACTAATATGTTGATCTTAAGATCAGATGGTTCATTTTAACGTATAAATCATATTAAACAATTAAATTTTTTTATCTAATAGTAAAATAATCCTACTTCCAGTTTCAATAAGAGATTCATATCCTACATTTTTTTTTCATCCTACAAATATGTTTGACGAAAGAAAATACATATTTAATTTAAAAAAAATGTTTTGCAAGTATTTTATTTAAGTGATTACTTGAACCTTGAGTAAAATATGTTCTGAGCAGAAGGAATTGATATAATAGTCATTTGACTTAAATACTATTTAACTACCCAAGCGAAATATATATCTAAAAAAATTAATTCTATAACATACATTAAGTCACTAAGAATATGTTTTAAAGATTAATTATTTTTAAAATATCTCACTAATTTAAATTTTATTAAGTTGATTTTGTAAGTTTATATAAGTATAGTTAGAATAATTACTATTGACAAATTAATTAGATAATAACTAATTATTTTTATCTCTAATTAGTCTAAATATGATAAATTTCTTATAATAATAACCAATTTAAGTTAAAGTTTCTTGAATTAAACCTCTTTACTAATAATTAATGGTGTATAAGAATTATATTTGGACATGAGAATGATTTTGTATATACTATTAAAATTTATATTCACTGAAAATTCATTAAGTTTTCTTTCGCTACTTACTATTTCTTTTATAATCTTTTCTCTTTATATTTAAATAAAATATATATTTAAAATAAAATAATTTTTTTAAAATGTTTTAAACTAATATAAAATATTTTTTAAATTATAAATATTTATTTAGGTAATTAGATAATATTATTTGATAATAAATATTATAAAATTAATATTTTTAATAAATAAAGAAATTTTAATAAATTTTTTTTTCATGTTTAATAAACTATTGGACGAACCTTTGTCCAATTAAGTATTTTCCCTTTAATTAAGAAGTTATTGATTGAACGTTGATATTATTTATAATTTTTAAAATATTTATCTTAATTTAAAATATTTAAATATAAAACATATATTTTATTTAGATTTAGTCTAAAATATATTATTATTTAAAATATTATAAATTATTTTAAAGTATATATATTTTAAAACTTAATTAGTTTTTTTAAAATAAGAATAAATTATATTATTATTTAAAATAAATCTTTAAATATATTTTAAGATATAAATTTTTTTTCAAAAATTTAGTTAATTTTGTGATAAATATTTTTAAAAAAAGGAAATGAAAAAATAAGTATAAATATATAAAATATTTTCTAATTTACTAATATATAAAATATATTAGAATTACTCGTCACTTCAAACTTTTCTGTCAGTTAACTAGGATTATAAGATTATGATGTTAATTAAAAGTATTTTTAATTCTTAGAGATTACAATGGAATAATCTTAAGTGAAATAAATTCTTTGATTTTTATAAGTTGAGGATGATAATAAAGAAAAAACTTAATACCATTATAATAATAACTGAACAAAATACTATATATTTATAAACAGTGTCATATTTAAGTTAATAAATAAATGATAAAATAAAATGTATAAATGAATTTAATATATATATATATATATATAATATATATATAATAATAATAATAATAATAATAATAAATGCGACTCTGATTATTTTAAAAGTATTTTTATATAAATTTAAGTAATGTTATATTTTAAAATATATATTTAATAAGATGTTATTATAATATAAATAAGTATTACATTAAAAATATAATAAAAAATAATGAAGTTACTATGTCTATCTAAAATGATGATTAAATGAAAATAGCTTGTTTATAAGATAATATATTTCTTTTTCTTAAATGTAATAAGTATTACGTAAAATTATAAAAAATATAATATAAATAAAATTATATATATAAAATTTTGACAAAAAGTTAAATGAATATTTTTACATTAAGTAGTTAGATTGAATAAAAAGATTATGATTTAGTTTTAAATTTTTTTATTTAAATTTTGATGATTCACCATAACATATGTTAAGAAAAAACATACCCTCTATCTGGCAGTAGAACCCAACACGCAACACAGTCAAGAAAAAACACTACGTCCGCTACGCGGGCAACTGGGCAACGTATGTAACCATTTTTGTAAACAAAATAATCATAATTAATTTTTAAATTATTACAAATTATAAATTATCATTTTTATATCAACAATTGAATTAATTATAATTTAGTTCTTAATAAATGAAAAATTTAATTTAATTTATATGTAAAATTCATAGAATTACTTATTTTATATAATTCAATTATAATTTTAGGACTAAAATTTTTAATTTAATCTAAAATTTATTTTTTATTATAAATAATTTATTTATTTATTACCACTTAAAAAAAATAATGTTAAAAATTTATGAAACATGACGTAATTATTTTTTATGAAAACATTTTTATTAAATTAGAGAGAGGATATAACATTTTTTTAATTATTATATTAATTGTTAATTTTAATTTGATAACAGTAGTATGCTATCTTTTTAATTAATCATTAATTTTTATAATAGTTGACATTTGCATACATGTTCCCTGTAAAATTTATACAAGTGATCACTTTTTTTTTTAATAATCACCAAATATTATATAAAAATAAAATATAATTTATTTTATTTTAATTTTAATTTAATATAAGTTTTAAACAAATCAAATCAACATTTATGATTAGATTGAAATAATTACTGTTAAATTGTTTATTTCTAAAAAATATTTAATATTTTATAATGTATTATAAAAAATTATATAATTATATATCTCAAAGTTGATGGTGGGTCTGCAATGTATATATTCATTTTTAATTTCTGAAAATCTTTAGCTAACATTAAGTTTTACAGTTGTTTATTTAAATAATAAATTTATATTTTAAATAATATATATAATTTACCACCATTTCCCGTATTTGTCTCTTGCACTCTCCCATGATATACAACTTATATGTGAAGTGAAGTTTATGTGATATTCATTCTACCCCACTTCTGGAGTTGTCAAAAAACTCAATCTTGTAAGGTTTGAGAGAATTTTAACTGTTTTTTACATTAGTATAGTATGAAATCCATACCAGTAGTGTTAGATGTAAGTTGGGACGAAGAAGAGGAAGTGATGTCTAAGGGAGGGAAGATCATTGACTTCGATTGGATAAAGGAGTTCCTGGACTTGTCCGATGAGGAATCAAAACATGTCGTCTTGTCGGAGGTGAAAATTGTGGACGATGACGATGATGATTGCGTGATTCTGGATGGTGACCCAGAAAACCGAGTCACCACCCTGAATGACTCACCAACTGAGTCAGACGAGTTGCTTGTTGTTGGGGAGAAGGGACAGGTATTTTCTCCAAGTTTCAGAGTGTTGATATATCACCACATGAAAAAAAAAAAAAAAAAATCTTTAACAACCTATTCTATTCATGTAATCATCATCATGAAAATCCTTCCTCCAATTTATTGTCCTACTAGGTGGAAATTCTTTTTCTTATAATTGTAGTGGAAAGGGAAAATGACTAAATCATACTCTCCACTGTTGTCCATGTGATTAACTATTTCTGCAAAAGTTTTGATTTTGACAAGAGGAATATTCACTTTTGTCATTTTTCCTGGTCTTTGATGCCTTGAGCATAAACTGTCAGGGTGAAATTTATGACTGCAAACATGTGAGTTTATGGGGCTCATTCCCAAACCAGGAATATCCATATGAATTTTAAACCGACAGAGAGAATGGTTGGAAAAGAGCTTTAGTGAATTTGTTGCTAGCATTTTCTGCCTTTTGAATGGATTTATATTAGAAGGTTGAAATATCCTGATTAAGATGGTGGAATGGTTATTACATGGTTCTAGCTCTTGGAATAAAGCAGAGCCAGGGTGGATACTCTGTACTGTGTTACATTGGAATGCCATGATGGTTACTTATGATTCAGATATATTTGTGGTTTGATGAAATTATATATCTTCAGGAAGTATGCTGGAGAATTCAGTTTCTGGCTTAAATTTACTTTGCTTCTCATGTATGATGATATCATTTTTTTTTTTAACTACATTTTTTCATACTTTATTTGCTTTTTACTATTTGTTTTTATTGAAGATGTATCTTTACCATTTTGGACGTGGAGGTTCATTCTTTGTTTTTGATCTGCAGATTGCGTGCAGAGACTATCCTCATCCCCGGCATCTTTGTGTCAAATTCCCTTTTTCTTCCACCCCACACGAGAAACACTGTGACCAAGTAAATAACATGATTTGTTGCTTAAGCCTGTACCAAAATTTAGGCTTATGCATTAGCTGGTTTAATGTTAGTTACTGTTTATGTTATTTTCTGTTTGATAATACTTCTATCACTCTGATCTTCTGTGTTTTGTTTTTATGACATGCAGTGCCACTGTTATGTGTGTGACTCGGTAGCACCTTGTCTGAAGTGGGGCACTGGCCTTTCAGGCACAGATCATTGTCATGCAACTGATAAATCTGAGACATGGAGAACTCTGAGGAAAAATTTCATTTTGGGAAAGGCTGCCCCATCACTTGTTTCAACCAATGGTAGTACTTTGGGTGATGTCACGAATGTCCAACATAATCATAGTCTACCACTTGACATTAGGCTATTGTCTCCAAATTTCATGTTGAATGAGACATCAATGGCAACTGCCACACATACATGCTCCCCAGTAAATTTCATACCTCAAAGTCAAGCCTCCAGATCAGTTATAATGCATACGCACCCGCCACTGAATTCCAGGCCAAATATTGGTAGATGTCGAGAGTCAGGATCTACTTTGCTGAGAAACAGATACCAGTCTCGTTCCATTCCACAGCGTGTGCTTGGTGTGCGCAATCATGGCATTCAAAGGGTGAAAAGACATGGAAACGATTTAGGGCCTCAGTTCCTCAGTTCTCATGCCATGCTTGAAGGGTTGGGCAGCGTTGGTGTTCGGAGCACCCTGCCAATGAACCATTCTACTCATGGTGCTTCTGCATTCAGCAATAGTGTCAATCATGCTTGTGCAACTGGATTTTCAAATAACAAAACTTGTTATGGAGAAAATGATGTTTATGTCCCCCAAAATTTATTGTACCCTTTTCCTTGCTCTCAGAAAGAAAACCTCAGCTCGGTCAACAATCGAATAACGAATGCAAGTTATGAAAGCCAAGCATGTTACGATTCAAATGGTAGCCAAACTTTGTATGCTTATTCTGTTCAAGGTAGCAATGATCCTTCAAGTCATGTGGTTGGACTGGGTAGAAATCAGTCTATAAACGAGCAACAAACGGGATGTCAAAATGAAAATGCTTGTGGAAATGTAACCCAAAGTGGAACTGCAATTCAATACTTTTTCCAACAGAAACATCATGATGCGTGTCAAATTGAATCTGCACTAAGGGCAGATTTTTCAGCCTTTCACTCAAGTAGGATTGAGGTTACCAATCAAAGCATGACTTATCTACAAGGCTCAGATTCTATGAACACATCATCCAATGTCAAAGAGTCTGGTACCCAGTTTCCCGGAAGCACTGGTCTTGGCTCGGTGGATGATATCAAAAGGTGGCTTTTTAACGAAGAAAACTCAGTCCTGGATGATACTTTGGCATCTGAACTTAACATGCCATATCCTGATGCCGACATGCTCTTATTTGATTTTGACAATTATTGGGATTGTCTGGCCTTTGTCTAGTCAAGAACATTAGCTTAGTATTTTTATAAGATGATTCTTCTTCAAGTTAATGAATGAGTCAATAGTTATTTCCTCTGCTTGCTTTATAAATGAAACAGCTAAGAACCTTCTAGTGCTAGACATCATCAGTGGCTACATATTTGTGTCAATTATTCATGACTTTCTGACCTGAGGATCTCATATACATTAGGCTCAAAAGCTGGTGTTAGAATTTATAATTGGACCATGTTGGATATAATGCAGTTCCCATTGCTTATAAGTTCTATGCATTATATCTGCTGAACCTTCAATTAGAAGCCTAACACCAATAAATGGGGCAACAGGATGCTAACATAAGAACGATTTGAGTGAAGTTATAGTACAGAAGCATTGTTTTATTCCTTTTATTTTAGCTATGCTGAGTATGTTTGAAGAATTTTATGTAACATCAAATAAATTATCAAAAATTATGTAAATAATAACTTCATTTTAATTTCATCATATCTCAGTTCCCTTGACATACATGAAAGGTCCTTCATTTCTATTATGTTTATTTTCATTTAGCAGTCTTTATTATGTGTATATTTAGATATCAACGAGGAAAGTTCTGAACTACTTTGTTTTCAAAACAACATATTCTTTTTACCCCATTGTTTGTCTCCCCTCTCTGGTGAATCATTATTTATTTAACTTAACTGTTCAAATTCGTACTTAGAATTTTGTACAAACCATGTTTTAACCTTTAATATCACACGAAAACTACTAAAGGAGGTCGATAATATAGATTATAGTTTGTACTCAAACTAGTCACTATGCTACAATCACATATTTAAACTAATTTTATAGGAAAATAACTTTTTGAAGTAATTTACATTGGAGCTCAAAATTAGAAGAAGAGAACTATTTTTTAAAATTAAAAAAAAAAATCTTAAACTAAGAGCTAGCTTTTAAAAATTATTTTAGAAAAGAAAAATAATATTTAAATAATAACCTTTTAAGAAAAAACATTTATTATCTAATATAATAATATTATCTATTATTATACTATTATATCATGCTTGAATAAATGTTTTTTTTCATAAGATTGTCAATATATAATTACTTTTTACAAAATTTTAATTTTTCTAATATTTTGAAATTTTCAAAAGAATGTCAATACATAATCACTTTTTTTAAAAATTAATTTTTATAATATTTTGAAATGTTTAAACTGTAATAAAACATGTTAAAAACATCTAATATCACTTAAAAACTATTGAAAGAGAATAATGATTAATATAGATTTTAGCCTTAGTATTAAAACTAATTACTACCATATAAATATATCTTTAAACTAATTTTAATATGACAGATTTTTTTATGCAATTTATTTTGAAACTAAAATTTTATGATATGAACCTATTTTTTAAAAAGATAAATGTTATTTCATTTACGTTTTTGATATATTAATTTTCAGAATTTCAGTTTGTTACTTTATATTTTTTAGAATATTCGTTTTGATTTTTTTTTAAATGTTAAATATTAATGTATCCGTTAACTATAGTTTTTAATACTAAAGGTAATCTGAATCTACATCAATTCTTAATTTTTTTTAGTAAATATTTAGCTGTTGTAATTCTGTGAAATGTTTAAAGTGTGTTATGCACTTTTTATCCTTTACGTTGTTAATGAAATCATATGTTATTTTTTAAAATATTTTTACTATGTGTAACTTTTATTATTACTTAAATTTATTATTGCAGTGAAAGTTACTCCCACAACTTTTTTTTTTTTTACAATTTTGTGATTAATATTTTGTTGTAAAAAAATGTGTTGTTTTTTAAAATTCTTATTTGTATTAATTTCTAAAGGGTTTAATTATTTGTTATCATTTATAATTATTTTTATGTTTTAATATGTTTATACTAGGTGAGTTTTTTTAAGTAGGTGAGAGAAACTATAATGTTTAACTCATTTTTTTCATTTGTTTTCACAACCATTCTTTAAAAACTAAAAAAAATGAATCTGGTTAAACAACATAACAAAATCACCTACGACCCGCTCCACTTCAAGAGAACCTTAACAAGAGAACGCTTTTGTTGTTATTGGAGTGAGTTTCCACCACCGGCGTCACCACCGTAATGGCTGCTAACGCTTGTTCTGCCACCGACCTCCACCCTCTTCTCGGTGGCGACGGTAACGCCACCGCCGCGGCCGAATACATCTGCGGCCGTTTTGAGGCCATTTCAAACAAGTTTGTGGACATCACTTATGCTGTTGACAGCACTTACCTTCTCTTCTCTGCTTACCTTGTATTCGCCATGCAACTTGGATTTGCCATGCTTTGTGCTGGTTCTGTACGTGCCAAGAACACCATGAACATCATGCTGACGAATGTCCTCGATGCCGCCACTGGTGGCATCTTCTTCTACGTGTTTGGCTTTGCCTTTGCTTTCGGCGTCCCTTCGAACGGTTTCATTGGGAAACACTTCTTCGGCCTTGATCAGTTTCCGTCGCCCAGTTTTGACTATGGTTACTTTCTCTTTCAATGGGCTTTTGCCATTGCTGCTGCGGGGATCACAAGTGGTTCCATCGCGGAGAGGACACAGTTTGTGGCTTATTTGATTTACTCGTCGGTTTTGACTGGTTTGGTGTACCCTATTGTGGCGCATTGGTTTTGGTGTTCTGATGGGTGGGGTAGTGCTGCTAGAGAGGAGGGTTTGTTGTTTGGATCTGGGGTTATTGATTTTGCTGGCTCTGGTGTGGTTCATTTGGTTGGTGCTATTGCTGGCTTCTGGGGTGCTTTGATCGAAGGCCCTAGAATTGGGAGGTTTGATCATAATGGGAAGGCTGTGCCAATGAAAGGACACAGCGGAACGTTGGTTGTTTTGGGGACGTTTTTGTTGTGGTTTGGTTGGTATGGATTCAACCCTGGTTCGTTTCTGAACATTTTGAAGGCTTATGGAGAGAATGGTTCTTATTATGGGCAATGGAGTGCTGTTGGGAGGACTGCAGTGACCACAACACTTGCTGGATGCTCAGCAGCACTGACAACACTCTTTGGGAAACGTATTCAAACGGGGCATTGGGATCTCACTCATGTGTGCAATGGTTTGCTTGGAGGGTTTGCTGCTATCACTGGAGGGTGTGCAGTGGTGGATCCTTGGGCTGCAATCATATGTGGGTTTGTGGCTGCTTGGGTGCTCATTGGGTTCAACTTGCTTGCTGAGAAGTTGAAGTATGATGACCCTCTTGAGGCTGCACAACTTCATGGTGGGTGTGGCACATGGGGAATTGTCTTCACCGCTTTGTTTGCTAAGAAGAAGTATTTGAATGAGGTTTATCCAGGGCTACCTAATAGGCCTTATGGGTTGTTGATGGGAGGGGGTGGAAGGTTGTTGGCTGCACATGTTGTTCAGATTTTATCCATCATTGGTTGGGTGAGTGTGACAATGGGAACAGTGTTCTTTGTGCTGCTTAAACTGGATCTTCTGAGGATATCACGTGATGAGGAGATGGCGGGGCTGGATTTAACCAGCCATGGAGGAATGGCATATGATTATGACGAAAAGGATGATAGGAAACCGGCATTTGATGCAACTGTTTGATCTGTTCGTAAATGGAAAAGAAGATATCCTCACTTGATATATACAAACTTGAAAAATACTAAACAATCATGGATGAATCATACGTAGCTACTCTCTCAGTTAGTGATTCCCTTATCCAACACAATTATATGTTAGAAGTCAGAAAGTGATGTGAATAGGCAGTTGCCATGTAGAAGAAGAGTGATGTATACTTTTTGCATGATTCTTTTCTTATACTGTCATCGATCGGTTCCTAATTTTTTATTCGTTACTATCTTCTGGAAATTACAAGGCTGTTCCTAATTGATTATTTTAGACATTGTACATCAATTATAAAATGGTTATAGACGTGATCAATGTAAGAAAAAAAAAATATTACGTAGGTGAATACATTTATATTATACACTTTTAAGAAAACAAATTATTTTTTTTAACATCAGTTACTTTTATAATTGATGTGAAAAATATACTGGTTGTGTTAATGGGAGTAGTATGTATATTTTCTGTATCAAATATAAAAAAAATTATACTTTTTTTTTATTTTATTTCTAACGCATACAATTGCAATAAAATGACAAACAATTTAATAATCGTCTATAATTTTTTATATTTAATCTATCCTTTTATATTTAACTAAATTCTTATATTGAAAATTCTATCTGCAAATAATATTTTATATTCTATATATTTCTATGCATATTCTTATATTCTAAAATATAATAAAATAAATTAAAATAATAATGTTAAAAGTAAATTCAAAATTTTAATTTATTAGTAATGATATGTAATAATATGATTTACTAACATAATTATATATTTCACTTCTTACTTTTTATTTATATCTTTTATTTTTAATTCGTAAGATATATTATTATAATCTTTTATTAATATATATTAAACATGTAAATGAAAAAAGATATAAAAATATATTTCTAATTTTCATGTTTTCCAATATTAATTTTTTATTTATATATTTCTATTTTCCATGTTTTATTTTATTCTTCTTAATAAAAAAATATATTTAATTAAATTTATTTGTCTAATTCTTGTAACATAAATTTATTTTACTATAAAATATTCAAATGTATCAATATTTATTTAAATTAAGAGTATTTAAATTAAATAAATAATACCTAATTACATGACATGATTTTAATTATATCAAATTATAATTGAAGTGATACTAGATTTTATTTAAGTTTAAACGAAATTATATATTTTGGAGGTGAAAAAAAATAATACTAGTATAACACTGAAATAGTGTAAAACTTTAAAAAGTAAACCATCATCGTGATTGGAGTGTGTCGTCATCAACCTGATCACATATATGTAAAAGAATTTGTTGAAGCAGGGCTAGATGACTTCTACACGAAACCCTGACTGTTAAAATGTCATGCTCGGGGAAATTCTTGACAAGATCAAGTCATGAAAACATTGTCAATTTTAGGTAATAGAGTGAACACCATATAGCAGTGTTCAACTTTGTTTTAGGTACCATTGTATGTAAAATTAGTAGAAAAATCCAAAATGACTTGTTATTCTTTGATGAATCTTGCAAAGGGTTCTCCAATTCTACTTTCACTCTCCAAGTTAATTTCCAACCATCTTTTGTAACTGGTTTTTTGATGTGTTTATATCAGTTTATTGATGTTTGATCTGGTTTATATGGTGGGTCAGGTTTCACAGTAGTTAAATAGTTAGTTATGCACTGATCATTTAATAATTACATGGCTATTGTCCCTAACCACGAATATATATAGTATGTTGTTTTGTTCTTTTTACAGTAGGTTTTAAGGGTAACCTAATTATTCTATATATAGAGAGGGTCTAAGTTCAATGCAGGTTCGATAGGGATATAGATTCTGAAACTTGGTCAATATATGCGCCTAAACACCTTTGCTCACATGTTACATATAATTGTAGTTGACCTGTTCAAGGTATCTGCACACTGAATATTTTATATGGTCACTAATAATATTTGATTTTTCACTCAACCCACTTTTTGTGACATGAAGAGATTACTCCCTTGCTAAGTGACAGAATATGCTGAAAAACCATGACCTGCTCCCTCTGAAACTTGTAGTTCAACATCCCCAAAGACAGAAAATGGTCGTCGCACACTTTTGCAGAATATCCTCTTTGTCGATTACTTTACGAAGAGGTAGATTATGTTAAATGATAACAAATAATATATTAAATTTATAACCATTTTTATTATGATAACTAAAAATGTTATCCAACATGATAATTTTGATACATAATTAAAGATCCTATCACCTAATTTTCTACCATGAAAAAGGTCTATATTCGGTACAATGGACCTTATTGTGTCTTACAGAGGGTTTCCCTTGGACCGTGTTTGGGAGGATGGAATAAGATGAAGCTGACTGATTCATATACGTGTAGTAGTGATGCAGCCGAAACATGTCATTCGTATTATTCTTGGATCCTTGAACGTCAAAGTCCAATCGATAACTCTTCTTTTTGTAATTAGGTTTGGAAATCGTATTGTGTAGAAAAGGTAAGGTAATGTTCTTAGTGTTATAAGATAACGTCTTTTAGTTAAATTCATATGATATAGGAAGATGTGTTATAAACTATCTTTGTCCTCGATCGATAAATGAGGTAAGGACTAAAGCGTATAAAGAGTGGAGTGAGACTCGATTTTATGTCCCATAACAAACACAAATGTTTTTACCGAGTTCAACAAAAGAGTGTTATGAGTTGAGACTTCAAAATGATTAAAAGTAACTTCTTTTAAAAAAAGACATAGATTTATCCGAAAAAGATATTTCAACGTTGAAATCAATTTTTTAAATAATAAAGCGATGTATTTGACAATGCGTAATAAAGTGGTTAAATTATTTTATATAGAAACCAGAATAGTAATAGTTCAAAAATAAAAAAATTTGATAGTCTAGGAAATAATAATTCACATAATAATACAATAAATAAAGTAATTTTAACGAATTTTTAAGATAATAAATTTATAAATTTTAAGATAATAAATTTATATATTTGCCTTGACGAAGCAGGTTTCAAAGAACTTGGTTTAGGGTGGTCACATTTCTTTAGTGGATACTAATGTTGAAACATGGATTAGAAAATTGACTTTGTATTTTTCTATTTGAACCTTCTTGTGTGTATTATCGCTTCTTGTCTCCTTTTATTTCATGGATAAAAAGGCCATTCTTCAGAGTTTCAGAATCTGAACAAATTCCAAATGTTGTGTCACCTACGTGTGAATAATATTAACAACACGGGAAAGACATAAATAGGGATACATAGCACTCCAATAAACTGGCTTTATATTCACACATCACTCGTTTCTTTGTCCTCATTCTTGTTCTTGCAGATTTTTCTTGAAACGCATAATTATTACTCCTCCTTATTCATCACTTCCTCTTCTACTTGCTCTAGTCTCTGGATCTTGAGAAAGATATATCTGTTGCAGGTCAGACTTACTCCCACATCATCTTCAAATCTTCGTACATACATAATGTATCTTTCATTCATATTCCACATGTTTCACAGTTTTCGTCTATGAAGGGACTTGGAATATTTATATCTTGTTGTCTTAGAAATTTTGTGTAGCACGCTATATATGAAGTGACCTGAAACCAAATCACTGGTATATATGCAGCAGGTGGGATAGTTACATATTTGGGCATATGCATGGTTTTTACATTCTTCTGGTGTTTGGTCTGTGGAGTTATGTGTGCTCATAGTGTATTTTGTAGCACTTCCTTTAATGTTAATTATCTTGAATGGAAATACACACTTGTGGTTAGTTACACATCTTTTGTGTTCAGGGAGAAAATAACATAATTGCGTTGAAGAGAAATGAAACCTAAGAACTCAAGTTCCCAATTAAAAGCACTTGTTGTAGATGATGATAGAGTCACACGAATGACTCATGAAGCGCTGTTGAAAAAAGTAGGGGTGGAAAGTCTTGCTTCAGTGGAAAATGGCAAAAAAGCTGTGGACCTTCATTGCAATGGTCAGAGTTTTGACCTAATTCTCATGGACAAAGACATGCCTGTCATGAATGGAGTTGAGGTATGCAAGAAAATTGAAAGCATGCAGTGTGTTGAATGGCATATAATTAATGAGTTTTGCAGTAGCATGCATGCATGTGTATAAATTATATTGAGATTTTCTTGTTGCATGTTTTTTCAGGCAACCAAACAACTTCGTTCAATGGGCATTCGTGACATGATTGTTGGTGTGTCGTCATCACGCGGTGCAGAGAATGTGCAACAATTCATGGATGCAGGACTAGATCACTTCTACACTAAACCCTTGACCGTTGATATGCTTAAAGCAATTATTGATAAGATCTAGTCATCGAAATCCAACCATGGATGATGCAGTTGCATTTTACCATGGTAGGCATCATCGTGGACAATCTTTCTGTTGAATAATGTCGCGTAAATGTAGAACATATGGAGAAAACTCCCATGGTTTTTGTACTTAAATGATGGTCTAATTTTTGTTTATAAATTACCAATACAGGTGTTTTTTAAAAGGTTTACCAGGTTATATAAGTTGTATTTACTAGTAATGAACAACTAAATAAGACTTATTATTTTATTGATTTTATTAGCCAAAATTTCAGTTTTTAAAATTTAAAAAATTTAAAATGATAAACAATATTTTTTAATTTTTTTAATCTTATTAATATTTTTATCAATAATTACACTAAAAATAATTTCATCTTTATTATTATTGATTTGTCAAAAATATTTTTTACTTTTGTTATGATAATTCATGATCATGATTTTCCTCATTTATCAATAGTTTCTAAAAGTAAAATCATAAAAAAAATTAACTTGTTTTTATTTTTTTTAAATTAATATATATTTTTTTAAATTTTAAAAACAAAATAAATCTTTTTTAAGCAAAAAAAAAAACTGTATAATGTAATTTAACTTATTAAAAATATGTATTTTTTATTTTATAATTTCATTAGTTATAAAAATATTTATCCTCTGTTGATGGGTAAGAGTTTTCATGGCTATGTGTAGAAATAATTGTATGGAGAGTCTAAGTTCAATGGAGACTTGATAACGACAGATTCTCACGCTGTCGTGTGGCTAATTAAATGATTGAAGGGACAGATTCTACGGTGAAAGAACAGAAATCGTATTTTTATTCACAGATTTTATTTTGTATTTTAATTTATGATGACTGAAATTAATTTTTTTATTTGTATTTCTTTTTTCTCATTTCCCCCCTTCAAATTACCCTTCTTCATTCTTAGTCCCATGTTTCCTATTTTTATTCCTCCTCTAAAATTGACATCTTCCTGAAGCAAAGCAAACACAAATTATTTTTCAAAAATTGAAACAAAACCAAGTTAGGCATTGTTGAGGATGAGAATGGTTATGGTGCCAAGGATGATGTTTAGTGTGACAACAAGGACTACAGGTAAATGGAGAAATAGAAGTAAAAAAAAAAAGAATCTTAATTAATTTGGTGAATTTTTAATGGTATTATTTATTTTTTAAATTTATGCAATTAATTATTGTCAATATAAAATTTAAGTTTAATTTTTAATTGTAGTTTATAATTTCTATATTTAATATATAAACAGTTTTGGCAATTATTTTAGAAGCTATTTTTTTTTTCCATAAATTAGTTATAAATAATTTAATCCATTATAAAAGTGCGAATGCACTATATGTAATTATAATGTCACTATGGTTGTTATGAATGTAATTCACATTAAAGTTGTAATGTGGATTATTAATTTAAAATTATTAAATGAAGAATGAAGTTTAACTGTGTTGACACTATCAGGTCAGGCCAAAGGAAAATGGTTACGAGGGAGACTAGGAGCATGTCAGCATATCTGTAATTTGTAAATGTATGAAGCATATTATAGTTTGCAAAATTCAATTTTACATATGACTAATGTACAAACATGAAAACCTCTCACAATGATTTCAGCAGTATGAGAGATAGCTCTCTCCTCACAAAATAAACTACACTCTTGCCTACCGTCCCGTGTTACCTTCTTGTGATATGATAACTCCATAATCAATCATTTCTCTTCATCCTCAGAATCTGACTTGGCAAAAACGGGCTCAGGTTGGGTTTCTGCATATGCTGGAGCAATAAATTTTGGATCCTTCGCTGCAACATCAGCATATTTCAGGATAGCTTCCCTTGGATCTTCCTCCATCCATGTCTCCTTGATCATGCCTCCTTTCTGTAATTACATTGAATGTAAGTACCTTCCACTGTCACAATCTAAAGCATGAAAACTGGAAAGTCAAGAAAAAGTAGACAAAAATGCTCACAAAACAAACAAACCTTTAGAAGATACTGGGTCAGTAAGCTTCCTTGACTAGTACCAACTCGTCCACCAAATCCAGGACCTGTAATTGGTAATTCAGGCTTATGGGACTTCAATGGATCCTTTAGTATTTTCTCTCGCTGACGCTTACGGCTTGGCTGATCTCTAAATAGTGGTAATGCGTGAGGATTGTGAATGACAGGTTTTGCCTCAAAGTCATCAATTGATTTTTTCCTTGGTGCACGGGCAACACATACAAGAGCTCCTCTCTCACTTAGGGTTAGATCGTATAGTATGTGAGTGCCTCCTTGGCTTTTATCACCAGTAGTAGCAAGGATCTATACAAAAAAAAGCAAGTTCAGAAAGAATTATAAGCACTAGAAACAAATATAGTTCAGTGAACGCAAGATCATACCAGAAAATTGATACGTAACATAACTGCTGTATTGTGTTACCTGATTCAGTTTAGGATGCCAATAACACTGAACAACACTACAAGTGGATGATATGCCAACTCTTGATACAAGCTCAAGGTTTACTCTATCGAAGAAGCACAATAAACCTCCTGTTGAGCTCTCCCTTTCCACAGATGTTCCAGTCAAAAAGAGTTGCTCATCAGGACTGAAGGCAATATTTGTTTGTCCATAGTGATTTGGCAGATCCTCAAATACCTTTAATGGTTCTCTTATTTTCCGTAGATCCCAAACCTGAGGATAATTCATCGGTCAATCAAAAGTCAGATAATGCACGCCTATCAAAGAAATTAGTAACGAGCTATAAGAAGATTTCACATATGTGATCATTTATTTACCTTCAGTGAACCATCAAAACTCCTTGACAATAAGATTCTCCCATCACTAGAAAATTTCAGACTACTAATATCATCTTCATGACCTTTTTCAATGTGTAGATCTGGTCTACTCCCCCAACCAGGCTTAATATTCCAAATCTGTTAAAATTAATTGACCATTCCAAGAAATATAAGGAGAAAGTTAAATGTTAACACTAATCCAGCTTAAGCTTAAGATCAGTATACCGATATTAACTTTATTGCTCAGTAATATCAGAGTAAAAGATAGATTACCTGGATAGATCCATCTCCTATACCACCAGCAATGCATTTACCATCACGATCCCATGCACATGTGGTGACGGGGACTCTTCCAGGTCTCGCAAGCTTTGGTTTAATGACCTAGCCATTGAATGATAACAACATAACTTCAATAACATCACAAAGTTGCCAAAAAATTAGAGCATACTTTTATCAAAATTTTCAATAATTTTTCCTATCAGTACCAAGAACAGAGCAGAATAAGGGATTTTATAAAGACAGTGCCAATGACTTCCTCACAACCACATGCAAAATAGCAGCCAATAATCGTACAAGTAATGTCAGAAGTATGTAAGAGATGCTTTCAGCCACTTTTCTGTATGGAGCATAAAGTTTTATTTTAAGAAAATCCAAATACCCCAAAATATATGTTTGAAAGGCTCTTTGTTCCCATTAAAATATTAAAAGTAAAAACAAAATAACAATCACAATCACCAGGGAAGAATAATGTAAAATTTCCAAACCTGCTTCTGACTTTTGAAGTCATTAACATCCCACATGCGTAGTGAGCCATCCTCTGATGATGTTAAAATGGTCTCTTTAGTATTTGGATGCCACTCTCCACATGTCAATCCAGATATGTGGCCCTTGGTATTCTTTAGATCACGAATATACATGTCCCCCTTCACAAACTCTCCCAAAGTAAGCCCATCACGATCATAAATCTGTGGTAGAATGATGAAAGACACGTTTAATGGAAATCACTGAAGCACAAATACAACCTAGCAGATAATGATGTCTTGCCCTACCTTTGCTTGAGCTGATCCAGTCACGCACAAAAAGCGATCTGCAGTTGGACTCCAGCTTAAATTGCGAACTTGATGACCTTCAAATGGCTCCAGCTGTCGAAACGATTCCAATCGAGCATTCATTCCTTGAAAGTCATACATTCGTACTGTATAGTCATAGCTTCCAGAAAGCACTCTAGATCCTGTATGATCCACAGCAAGAGCTGACACAACCTGTTAATAGTTTACCAGGATTAATCATTAATAAATTACTCCCAAACACAACTGGTTTCCTTTTCTATCACTTTCAGATTTTGAATACCTACAGCAGCTGCTCATTTACATAGCTGGGGCCTGTCTTATACGGTCCTAGTAAAATTGTTAAAAAATGGAACACACAACTACGATTTCAGTTGCATAGTCAAGGTTCAAGGTTTCTGAAGTCTGTGATTGCATTAAGGCCACATTGGCTACATAAGTCTGCAATTTGCCACAATATCAAGGAATGTGTAATAAGTCCCACATTGGGGAGGTCTCCTTACCAGGGAGGCCTTATAAGGTGAGAGGTTCTCCAACCTCTTGAACTAGCTTTTGAGGGATGGTTCCCCTCCTAACCTTATGGTTGTTACATTGATGCTTTCGTTGAGAGCCAGCCAACTCAAGAAGGGCTACCCACGTAGGGTTCTGACCGCCGGAGGGTTCTGACCACTGGAGGGTTCTGACCGGTAAGAAGACCGAGTGAAGTGCTGGTGAGTGAAGTACCAGGGAGTGCAGCCATCGAGGACGCTGGCTTTCGAACGGGATGGTATTGTAACAAGTTGGGGAGGTCTCCTTACCAGGGAGGCCTTATAAGGTGGGAGGTTCTCCAACCTCTTGAGCTAGCTTTTGAGGGATAAATCCCGTCTTGGTTGTTACAGAATACAACTAAATACAGCTGCAAAACGTGATTTAAACCTTAGTTCTAGTTCAGTACTAAGTTGTTGTAACGTTATAAGATGTGCCTAGAAAGGCCCAAACCTACCCTTAAACCTAAATGGTTAAAAAATTAAATTGGATGGGCTTAGAATATTATTATTTATTTATTTTTTAAAATCCTTAAAAAGGTATATGATGACACTGATAAGGCTATCATCCATTACCTAGCTATTTACTTTGGGTTTCTACAATGTGTAACGCATCAATGAAAGAAACAAATTATTGCTAG